GTTGAGATTAACTATGAACACCGCTACCAAGAAACACGTGCCAAATAGATCAGAAGGCGTAAGAAGCTCGTTCCAAATGACTCCATAAAATCCCCGAGAAGCCGAATACCAGAAGGCAATTAATGGACCAAGTCGATGTTTATTTGCTGGCGATCTCGTGGCATCGAAAGGATACCGAGATCGTGCCAGGATACAAGCTTGGTTACAGAACGTAACCGAATTCGCGCGAAGTTACAATCAAAGTGTAAGTATAAGAATGGAAGCACAAAATAGCTGTCATTAGCACAGTCAAACAAAAGCACGTTAAAACAAACACTGGTACAGTTGGTTATAATAATAATTGTTTTTATTAAACCAGTCGTGTTCTCGTGATAAACGTGAGTCACTACACATTAACTGCCATCTGATATTTGGCTTCCGGGGGATTTTATGAATATCCTGACACGCCTTCATTTGTAGTGGTGCTTATAGTCAATCTCGACTCGACACCACGCTACTAGTGTGATGTCGAGTTGCGGTTGACTATGATCACCACTACACGAAGACTATATGCCAGTTAACTGATAACATCCTCCGTAGGCCAAATATCAGAAGGCAGTTAGTGGCTGTAGTCGAGATGTATTTGTTGGCTATCTCGTGGTACCGGAAGAATACCGAGATCGTGCCAAAGGATTACAAGTGTGGTTACTGAGCGTAACGGAATTCGTGCAAGGTCACAATCAACGGAAGGAGGAATGTCTATAGTACAGTTAAACAAACAAGTATAGTAAAACAATCCCTGGTACAATTGTTTATAATAATTATTGTTTCCATTACACCAATCGCGTTCTGTTGATAAAAGTGAGTCACTACATGCTTACACAGAATTTCTCTGATTCTCATGAACTATATCTACGTTGTTTTACTTTATTCATTCTCTGTTCTATGATTGTATTGCTTGAGGTGGCTGGAATCGTGCAATATTTTGTGGTGAACTGAAACACACTTCTAGAACTGGAAAGACTTATTGTTGTGACATGTAATGAAGCATACAATGATTAATACTTTTCTTATTGATACTTTTATAGAGTTATGCATTACAGTTTGAACAAACTGTACGTGATCTATCCAAAAAGATGGAATAATATTCCTGCATTAGTACAAACCTTTATTTTTTTGGAACTGGTAATTATCTTATGTCCCTTATCTTTTTGATCTACTTAATGAATTTCTATTTGATTATTTGAGTGTATTGTATAATTATTGGTTGAATAACCGGGTGGTAATATTTATGTAGGTAATAATGTGCACTTGAATCTGTAGCTTTATATAAAACTGATAATTACCCAACCATGTTGTTCACTTGGTAAGGTTATTAGCTGACAGTTGTGACCTTGAGGCTACTCATTTACTAGAGTCAAACGAGAACCACAAATTCGGGAGTGGAATTAAGGTTTGGATTTTGAGTTTGAGTTCAGGATAAGAAATTAGATTTGGGGTTTTCATCAGGAAGTGGCATTAGCTGTGATACCGAAATGCTATTCAACAATATTGTATTTCGGGTCACAATACAAGGCCTGCTACCTTCAATTTCATTAGTCTGTCCATAAATTGTGGTTTCGCAACTTGGTCTGATTTGAAAAGGAGAGCAAATTTTACAAGGAAACTAGATAAAGTTCAGTTGTAATTTCAGATTGGAGTATTTATACTAACTGATGAATACATTGTACTTGATTGGGGGCTTATTATTCTGAATATAAAGCATCTGATTGTACTCATCTAATTTTACCTGGTTTGATTGCACTAGTTTGAGAGTTCTTAGTTGGGAAATAAATTTGAATAATCCTAGTTATCATACCGATGTCGTGATGGAGTCAAATCTTGGACAGTAGGACATTAATTAAAGTGGGGATGACTTTGAATTCTACGAGGGGCGGTTCGAAATCTGGTGCATGACTACGGAAGACATTAAAGATGATAAATTCATAGGTTGTTTTGTGATGTTTATTGGCAGAGAAGTTTATAACCTGCTAAAGAATCTGGTTTTTCCAGAGAAACCAACTTCATTATGGCACGTATGTCTCAAAGAATTACCACTTATTGATTGTTCAGCGTGCTGGCTTCGAATACATAGAGAGATCGAAGTTGTATAAAATGATGAAAAAAATGATCAGAAAATTGGAGATCTGATATTTTAACTAATGAAACAAAACACAGTGTGGAACAGTGAGGAGTAACAGGAAACTCGACTAAGCGGTCAGTTGACTTCTGGGATAACTAATCAGAGTTTAGAAAGAGAGTTATCGCAAAAAACCTAAAAGTTCATCTTGAGAAATTAAAAGACTTGGAGGGTCAGTGAAATTTCACAGAGCCCCAGCCAAGCATCTGGCAATGGGGTCATTGAATATGGAACAAATCATCGATCCCCGCCAGGGTCAAGGACAACCAACGCGCATTAGTAAATCGTACGCCATGGACTGGCCCATGCGGCAGTGGTCTTACCTTCACTTTTATCTATTTTACTCAATATACTTCTGTAATAACGTCCTTGGTGTTGTACAGTCTTCAAAGCATCAATCGTACCTTGATAGGTCAACAGGGTAGTCCACATAAGGTGCTGACCACGAGGTGTGACTTCGACGTTAGCCAGTTCGTCACACCATTCCCGTCTAACTCGAGAAGGCCTCCAGTCATTCGACAAAGATCATCTCCTTGAAGATCTACAGACTTTTGAGGTGATCCAGAAAACTTTTCGCGAAAGACAAGAAAGACTCGGTAAACATTGAGAAGCATCTGATTCAATCAGCGTTCGCTAGATGTTTAGCCCGAAACATCAAGAAAGTGGAAAGTCACATTTCCAGTTTCTGATTAGATGATTACTACACGGTTACTATGTTTAGTAGCATTCCAGAATTTTTAGGAAACCCAAAGACATCTACAATACCATAAAAACCTTATATTTTCTGTACATAAATGAACCTTCGGAGTAAAGTGTATCACACATATTTTGCTCCTTTTCTCTCGTGTTAAGGTCGCTGTGTAGTTCTAGCTTGGGAATCGAATATAACGTTCATTTAGCAAGACTTATCAGTGGCGACGGTAAAACTACAATGAATATTTCTTTGGAGCAACTAGAAGCTTATATGAAGCGTCGAGAGAAGAGGTTTGAACAGTCTGAAATCAGAATCAAGGGGGTTTCTATGAAGAAATTGTGCCTGTTCCAGCAAAAGCCTGCTTCTTACTTCCTTACGCCTGTTACTTCCAATGGAGCATAGGCCGCCCACCAGCATTCTCCCACCCACTTTGTCCTGGGTCTTATTTTCTAGTTCCATCCAGTTGTTGTTCACTTTTCTCATGTCTGTCCACATCTATCGTCGTAGTATGTTCCTTGGTCTTCCTCTTTTCCTTTGGCCTTGAGGATTCCATGTGAGGGCTTGTCTTGTGATGCAGCTGGGTGAATTCCTCAATATGTGTCTCATCCATATGCAGCACTTCTTCCTGATTTCTTCCCATATTGGAATCTGGTTTGATCTCTCCCACAGTAGGTTGTTACTGATAGTGTCTGGCCAACGTATCCGAAGTATTTTGTGCAGACAATTGTCAATAAACACTTGTATCTTCTGGATGATGGCTTTCGTAGTTCTCCAAGTATCCGCCCCATACAGCAGAACAGTCTTCACATTCGTATTGAAAATTCTGACTTTGGTGTTGGTTGCCAGACAGTTGTTTTGAGTTCAAGATGTCCTTCAGTTGTAAATACACTGCTCTTGCTTTACCGATCCGGTCTTTACTTCGAACGAGTCTGTCAGTTGTCCCCCATGCACGATTTTTCAGTTTGATCCATCATAGAAATTTCGTATGATATTGAGTATCTTCTTATGCACGCCGTAGTATCGATAGTGTTGTTCTGTCCACGCCATCAAATGCTTTTTCGAAGTCAATGAAGTTGATGTAGAGTGATGAATTCCACTCAACTGATTGTTCCACAATGATTTGTAAAGTTGCGATTCGGTCTATACACGATCTATCCTTACGGAATCCTGCCTGTTAGTCTCGAAGTTGGGCGTCCTAGAGTCCTTCATTCTGTCTAACAATACTCTGTTGAAGACTTTTTCTGGTATTGAGAGAAGAGTGATGCCCCTGTAGTTATCACAATTGCTGAGATAACCTTTCTTTGGTATTTTGATGAGAAGTCCTTCTTTCCAGTTTGTTGGTACTTGATGGTACCTTGCTTCTAGTGAATTACAATGATTCCATACTGATTTAGTCGTTAATGCCATCCATGAATTTAATTTTGATGGTGTACCAGGTGTAACTTTTCATTCCTGTTTTAAGAAATATGAAGATTCGTACTATATTGAACTTTGGCTTACAGTCTTCTTGACACTTCTGGACATCCCCTTAAACTCCTAGTTAAGCTTAGTCCCAATGCAAACCTAAGGAGTAACACCCAGAAATTGGAGATACAAAATACCAGAATGGACTGTAGACGCAACCCCTACTCCCAAAGAGTTGTTAAATGATGGAATTCGCCGCCGACTGGAATAGTCCAAGCGACTTTCTGGGAGTCCTTTAAGAGGAAACTTGACCTAATCTTATGGACTAAGGATAACATCTTATAATGATTTACCCATTCATTTTTTCCTCTATTATAATTAACATGCTAAGGTTCCTGCCTGGAGGTATTGGTGACCAACTGCTACTAAACACTGAAGCCCGTAAAGCCAAAGTTTCTTCTATTCAGTCCACAACAATTTGAACCATTTGAAACTCACTCAAAGTACAGCATATTCATATACACAAATAACGACCAAATAACTAGAATTAGTGAAGTCAAGTGTCTAGACTAACACTGACCCTGAAACTGTGCTACAACAGCAAGAAGCGAGAGCGAAGAAATTAATAGGTTTACGCCAGCTCACCTTAAAGATATTTGATATTGAATAAATAGAAACTCAGCGCAATGTTTGTGTTTCACCGTTACACCTAGACGTGTCTTCTCCTATACGAGACGAGTGAAAATGGTGAGTCGCTGTAATGATTTTATGCAGTGGAATAAAATATAATGGATAGGATAATCCTGCGACACGACAACCAATGAGTGAGTTGGAACTGCTGAGAATGCAGATGAATGCAAAGACCGATGAGGTATTGTTTTTACATAACTTATCAATAACATAATAGACTCTTGATTCAACAAGGAACATGGTTCGTTTATGTGATGAGGTGAGTTCTGTTAATCCTCGCTTTTTATTAGAATCAGGTAACAGCTCATTAATAAATTTGTGAAACATTTGCTATCGTAAGTATTCATCATCCGCCAAGAATTAAAAAATGCAATAGCAAGTTCGAACCCTGCACAGCAAGTGGTCTTTTGTAAATTTGGAACTCGCCAAAGTTCATTAAATTGCTAAATACCAGCCTTTACATATATGCGTGAATATGATATCGAACGAAATGTAACAATATCTTAGCTCAACCATTCTGCTATCTTATTAAACGTAGTTTGGGTGTTTTTAAGTTCATAAACTCAGGCCCAATCGCAACATCTGGTCAGAAGTTCTATCGACGTAAAGTACCGTAATTCATGTAAATATAGTAGGAAAAGTTAGGTTGTACCACTAAAATACACGATAACCAATGGTTTTAAACAAATTGAGAGTAAAAATCTCTTCCGGAATTAATCAATTGCTCAAAACCTGAGTTTCCTCTTGTGCTGTGTTTCTGCTCCCTTTGGGCTAGGTTATGATTGTGTATTTATTTTTAGACAATGTATTGCAGCTGCTGATACTACCTGGTTGCCGAATCCCTGGTAGGTGGGGTGGTTTTCGAGCATGTTGACTAGCATCGAAGAGTATAACATCTTATTCACTGCAACCACTCCACTCCATAAGATAATTTCTTGTTACTCAGTTAACTTTCTGAATCACTCAACAAATATAACCTTATAAATTGTGTGCTTTTGTGGTTTGTCAGCTATTCACTCACGTTTGACAATGCCTAAGCTAATCCTAACACTATTAGGTCCTTTAATTGTTTCTTGGTATTTCGTCTTTAATGTAAGGCCCGTTGTAAAAATGAAGTAACGTATTAGGAACCTAAACCAATAGGTTAGGAAAAGCTACAGGAGGTCAACGACTTTTTTTCAAATTAATACATAGTTTAAGTCTCACTTCACAGGGCTACAAACAAGTTTACGTAGTGGTAGTAAACATCGGTGAGTGAAAAAAGCTAGTGAAATTCATAAGGTTGCAGGTAATGCTAGACAGCCGTTTGGACTAATTTACTAATCTTTCCAATAATTAAAAAAATCTTGATCGCTTTTGAGTCTAAACATTATGGACTAATTTTTGTTAATGGCTTTCCTGTTTTCTGCTTTCATTGTTCACTAATTCTCACTATTATACCGTAGTTATTCATTGTAAATGATGGACTAATATTTTACTGAATAATTTATTTTATTTGAACATATAAATATTGGTACAAGAGGGCACCAAATATATACCACACAAAACAATGAGAATTCGAAGAGAAAGAAAAAAAGAACAATAACGAATAGATTAGTGTAAGGTGATGTAATAATAATAATAATGGTAATAGTGGGGGAAACGGGAAGGTACAACTAGAAAGAATTCCTTCAGTTGAGGAAGATACAACCACTTTTTATGAAAAAAGTAAAAGAAGGTTACAGCAGGATCGCCTCTGGCTTCTATTCTGAGCCATATCTGATAGCGTCTCTAGCCACTGTGTAGCACCATCTCTCGGACTCCAGCTAGGGAGTCGTGAAGGGCCAACAAAAGCCAACCCTTTGCAGCTTTCTTTCATACCACACATCATGTCATACACTGACCACCTCTCCGCTTTTTCCAACCAGTCCCAGAGTCGGCAAATAATGCACGACGTGGAATTCTCTGGGACGACATTCGTAGAACATGTGCAAGCCACCGAAGTCGGTGTTTCAAGATGGTGACACCAATTGCATTATCGTCTCTGCGCCCGAACACACGATGCCAAACCTCTGCATTACTGACATGGTGTTGCCACTGGATGTCAGCAATCCTTCGGAGACAACGATGATCGAACACAGAGAGTCGTCTAACGTCCTCAACTCGGAGAGATCAGGTTTCACAAGCATAGAGCAGAACTGCTCTCACCGACACGTTGTAGATCCGACCTTCTACAGCCAGGCTAACATCACGAAGGCGCCAAAGATGGCCCAGATTGGCATAAGCCGCTCTGGCTCTCACCATACGTGCATTGATCTCATCACTCACACCCCTACCAGCACTTATGCAGGTACCTAGATACACGAACTTCTCTACTACTTCTATCTGCTCACCATCCAGGGTGAGTTCTTCATGTCCCTTTTTTTCCTCTTTCCAAATTTATTTCACTGGATTATACTCTATAAATAACATCTCCAAACCCTAATCTTCCCGATTACTGCTTATACTCTTGCTACCTCTACCACTATGGGATTTGAATGGACAACTGCATCTCTGTGCTAATGTGGTGTGGCAACTCGAACTGATGTACGCATGTACGAAGTTCTACGTTGATACTGACTGACTGACTGACAGGATTAGAATCCTGCCAGTCTTGTAGAAGTACTTTGCACTTCGAGGGTGCAAAGCTCATACCGTACTCACGGACACTGATTGCCAACTGATTAAGTGCGGATTGCATGCCTTGGGCATTATCGCACAGTAAGACAATATCGTCCGCATACTCAAGGTCGAGAAGTCTTTCTCCAGGCAGCAGCTCCACATCGCCATTACTTACATTCATCAGAGCTGTTTCCAGAGTGTCGTCGATGGCAAAGTTGAAGAGGAATGGTGAGATTGGGCAACCCTTTCTAACCCCACTGCTTAATTAGAGCAATGGAGAGAGATGGTTGTATGCCCTCACTCTGCCTGAGGTGTTTTTATATAGGGCTTTTAGGATGTTAATAAACTTCTCAGGCACACCATTCTTCGATAGACAATCCCAGAGAACAGTTCTGTCCAACGAATCGAAGGCAGCTCTGATGTCAAGAAACACTACTATTGTTGGTCTGTGATAAGTATAACGGCGTTCTAACATTTGGCCGAGGGTGAAGATATGATCAATACATCCTCGACCAGAATGAAAACCAGCCTGCTCCTCGCGAGTCAATCTTTCTCGGGTTTTGAACAACCTACGAAGTATGACAAAAGCCAATAGCTTGGACGCAATCGGAAGTAGACTTATCCCCCGATAGTTGCTACAGGAGCAACGTGAATCCTAAGATAGGGAAAACTATCGACTCATTCCAAGACGTTGGCACACTCTCTACTTCCCAGACCTTTATGAACAACGTCGTCAGTTCCTTAGTCAGAAAGTCACCATCTTTAAAAAGAGCCGGAGGTAGCGCTTCAAGAGTTGGAGTTCCTTGCGGACCTCCACCTCACTTGGTGGATCAGTCGTCACCTGCCATGGAGGGCAGGACAGTCTGACCGATGTTGCCGGGGCAGCAGGCCGGTTGAACTGGTCTTCGAAGAATTCTGCCTATCGTTCAAGACGTCGATGGGTGTTGGTGATTGGCATCCCATCATCCTCGCAGGTTGTTTCGCTCACACCAGACTTCTTGCTGCCAGTGGCTCGGATGAGTTGGAAGAGCTTCCGGTAGTTACCAGATGCAGCTGCTGCTTCCAGCTCATTAGCACGCTTCGACCACCAGGCTTCTCGGTCCTTACGCAAGCTTTGCTCAATTTCATTACGTAACATCCTTCGTTTGTGGTCAAACTCACGGTCACCCGGAGTAGACCGACGGGGTTCAATGAGTTGTAAGGAGCCTGAAGAAACCCAGTGCTTATAAGCAGGACGTTTTGCGAACCCAAAAGTGACTTTACTCGTCATTTTCATGGCGTCATGCAGTTGCAACCAATACTCATCTACACTTCTCGGTGGAATGGTATCTAGCTCGATTCGATACTTACTTGCAACCGCAGTTGCACCCAACTTGCTGACATCAATCCTTTGGTGGCGGTCACTTCGTTATCCACTGCAAAGTGAGGTGAGATTGACGCAAACCATGGCATGATCAGAGTCCAGATAGGTACTCCAAAAGGAGCGGCAGTCTTGTACACAACCACGCCAGCGGTAGCTGATCGCGATGTAATCAATCTGAGTCCAGACTTGAGATGCAGAGGGAGGACGCCAGATGGCACGTCGGCGATGACTGTGCCGAAAGTTAGTGCTAGCCAGAAACAGGTTGTCGTCTGTGCACAGTTGCAGTAGACGGTCCTCGTTATCTGTCCTGCGACCAACAAGTCTCCATCGGCCACCTAAACGACTCTCTTCTGTGCCTAGACGCCCGACCTGAGCATTCAAGTCTCCGAGTAGTACTACAATATCTGTCGAACGCACTTTCTGGAGAAGAACGGTTGACTAGTGGTAGAATTCATCCTTGATTGCATCCGGGCTGCAATCTGTCGGAGCATAGGCGGAGATGACGAAAAGGCATCGTTTCTCACGCCGATTTCTTCTCACTTTGATGGAACTCTCTAATCTAACAGCACATTACCGACTGTTAATGGGGATCCAATCGATTAGTGCTGCCTCAGCTCTAGCGCTTAGTGCGACACCAACGCCAGCAAGACCAGACGAAGATGCCACATAGTCCTCGGATAAACGCACGTAAAACAAGCTTTTTGAAGTGACAGATGGAGAGCGAACTTGTGGTACTTCACCATAGTCCTGAAAACGGGTATCAGATAGACAACAAACATCGATATTAAGACTTTTCAAAGACATAGCCAGCCCTATCTGTTGTCCGACCTGCATAAGTGTGCGAACGTTGAAGGCAGCCAGTTTGAATGGTGCACGTGGTTTCAGAAAAACTGCTTCAGTACTCGTATTTGGTGGTAGCATACAATTTTCAACTAGGCAGCGACTCGAAAACGTTTAAATAGAACCGAATTTCCACCATAGGCGAGCTGCTGTATAAGTCGAGAAATAAGGATACACTTAGTGGAAATAAAAGAGAGTGAGTAAATGACGTAGTAATTAATAATAATAATAATAATAATAATAATAATAATAATAATAATAATAATAATAATAATAATAATAATAACGTGAATCGTCTGACTGTTAATCGAAGCAAGTATTGTATTTTCCGTAAGTATTTTCATTTCATTCTGTTTGTGTGTGGGCTGTGATACTGCCTGGGTGCCCAGACCGAAGCAGATGGTTTTCTTAGGGGTCACACTCATAGCCTTTGGCCTGAAGGTATAATCTACAAGGCAATGGAGCAATGTTAGGAGATGCAGTCCCATGGTAGCCGGTGACCAACGATTGGTTCATACGCCGTTTGTTCCCTCAGGATACTGGTACCCATGTGCACCATAGATTTGGAATCCGGTTAAAGTGCCGGACATTCGCTTTTCGTCCTCTCATTTTCGTAAACAACACCCCTCCACGAGAAGGCAATGAGTAGGACTTCCCTGGAAGGGGCTGTATACGCGTGGCTATGTGAGAGCATTTCAAAAGGGAAGGCGGGCCCATCCCACTCTCGGTCGTACCAGGGCATTTAGTCACTACTATAGACTGTCGAGGTAACATCTACGGTCAGCGGACGTCAGTATCAACCAGATGATTTCGGAATATTACTAATCCCTTGAAGTCACTGGTCTATTATCAATACTTTTCGAACATTGTAAACTCAAATAGACCAAGTTTTATAAGCACAAGATAAAACTGTTTGAACCAAAGCTGTAGGCCTCTAAACTTTTGTTATCAAACTAATATTATGCCAGTGCCAAAGATCATACAAATTGCTACAATGCTTCTGTGCTTTTGCTGTATGTAAATTGACCATATCTTTCACCACCATCAGTCGCGTCTACTCGACTTCACAAACTTGACATTTTGCAACAGCTCATTACAATGAATAAGTCCAGTCACGGGTTGTTCCCAATCTTGTAGAAATAATGAGGTCTTTGATGATTCATAGTACACTGGGCCTACGCGGGCAACAATGACCAAATGATTAAGTGCGATTTACGTAGTTTATATGTCATCGCATATTCAAATAATATTATCGTACGATTGAAGTCCGAAAAATCATTCTCTTGGTAGCGGATCTGTAGTAGCAGACTTCAAAAAAGCTGTTCCCAGAATATCGACGCTGGAAAAATTAAGGAGAGATGTCGAAATTACACAACCTTATCTAAATCAACAGCCAGTTCAGAATACTGAAGTTCGATGGTCCTATCCATTCACTCCGTTTTACATGTCCTGACATAAAGCTTTTGATATGTTGGCAGGCTTTCCAGATATAGGTTCCCTCTAAAAAAGACCCCTACGATACAGTTCCGTCAACCAAATAGAAAGTGGTATTGATGTCAAAAAAACATAACAGTACCTCAATACTTTTGAAAGGGTTGAAGAATTTGGCAGAGAATGAAGCTGTTATCGATACATCCCCTGCTTGGCCGAAGTGCTGACCTACCTCACACGACTAAGTGTTTTACGAGTTTTACACCATAACCAATAACATTGTATCGTAATCTAATAAAATCTAAAGTATTTCTTTTCATTCTATTACTTTAGTTAGTGGTGTTAGGTTTCGAGTACTAGAAAAATCTGGAGAACTGGTTAGCAAAACTAAAAACATCCATCGATTAAGGTGACTGAGATATATCTTCCATATCCCCGACCATCACCTACTTTGACACGGTGTTATCTGGAGTAATAGTAAGTTGGAAGAAAGCTTAGGGAAGCTAAACCAAGACATATTGTCAGCTCATAAAGTCATTGATTGTTGGATTAACCGATGATGGTGGGTACAAATTGCTTATCTGTTGTCCACATGGTTAACTTCATATTTACAGGAATACCGATTGATGTTTCTGGTTATGCTATTTGATTTAATGAGTTTAGAAATTAAGATACAATGACAGCTTAAATAATATAATACTTGTTAACAAGTCTTGAAATGGATGATGATTTCACTTGTCACTTTCAACTAATCTCTCCTAAGTTAATTACTGTTCCTAGCTCAGTTTCATAGCTTTTCCATACTAGACGTTTTTGTAGTTCAGGACTCAAAGGACAAATACGTTTGGTGTTTTTTAAGCATTGACATGTGTTTGTGAATTGGAATATTTTTCAACGTAACTCATTTGCCATACACAGCTTTCTGTAGTGGGCTTTAAGCCAAAATTCTATTGTCACACTTAATGATACTACCCTAGTTCACAAATAAAAGTAGATAGATACAAGCTTTGAACCGTGAACCTATTGGTGAAAAGCAAGGCACTTTGACTCCTAATTTATTTCTCACTTCGATCGTAAACGTTATGATAATAAGATTTTTACGATCAAAATTCAAATATTGTGTTCTTCATTTCTATTTTGTTTTACATATTGTTTTTCATTTGTTAACAATATTCTGTTAATAAATTTTCCATTTTTGACAAAACTTTGGAAAGCATTTATATTTATAGAACTTCCGTTTTTTTTTAATTTTTGAATTTCAGAGTACAAAAGTGGGTGCTCAGACACTAGGAAAGTTGGAGTCCCAAGGCCGTAGGTTTTCAATTTATTTATATAATTTTGAAAATTTTGTCATATGTTTTTATTTGTCATTTTCGTACCATATATCCTTGTTTTACTCTCTAAAATCAGCAGTTTAATGTTCATAATTAGGTTGTGTCTAGAGAAAAACCATGAAATGTGTTATTTAACTGCAAAAATTACCAAGTATTGTTGTTGCCTAGTCGTATAGAGATTCTTAGAACACTAAAGAAATAATCAGTATCTTTTTGTTGTGAATGCCACGACGGTATCTAATAATAATCCCTTGACACAACCGAGAATCTAGAGAGTTCGTTCTTTACATCGAAATACTCATACAACTGACTGACTCATAGTCTAATCAAGATAAAAGAAATTAGATTGATACTCACTACTAGTTTATGTAACCATTGTATTCATATTTTTAAGTTTTCTTGATTTAAGCTCAGAAATAAGTTAATTATTTATCTATCCTCAGATATTCAATGAAGAAAACACATATCGATTGTTAAAAATGATGTTGTCACAAGATTGTTAGTGGCAGTAGATTATGTTAACTATAAAGACTACTCACAAAGGGCACTAAAAAGTCTTAGTTTTATGAATTTTCGATAATATACAGTATTATACTCATTCAATACTATGTACTATTTTATTGACAGCACTATAGTTTTAAAGTCACTATTAGGCGACAGATTTTGATATGCACATTTTTACTGTCACATTCTATATATTTCAGCAGTCTAGATTATGGATCGGTTGCTTGATAGCCAGAGTATTCGATTCATATTCACTCGTTCATAAGATCCGATTTCCACCCTACGTCTGACTAACGAGTTAACCCCATGACGGGAAGTGGAATACCACAGAACTTGGTTTGATTGTCGAGTTGTGGCTAGTTTTTGAATGCTGGTCCGTTTGAGCGTTTCGTTAACTAAACAGACATAAAAAACTGTAAATCTGATTATATAATCATGACGTGGGAGAATAAGCCTTGTTACTAATTGATGTATTTGTGTGTGATATCCTAGTATACGCTTATTCAATGAATTTTGACGTGTCTGTGGAATACGGATCATAACCTGTTATTCTAACTTGTTGGTTCCCATTGGAATTCCATGTAAAGAAATAATTGAGTGGTTGGAGGTGATATTCTGTGACATGTTAATTTACGGAAGTGGCAACCTAACTGCATATCAGTCAAATAATTATCTTGTAACCTACTATTGGATATAAGAAATGCTCAGACGTCTCAATTCACTCAACAAAGTTACATCATTCATAAAGATTTGCAACATAAAAAACCACGAATGACGTAATCTTTAGCGCTCTAGTCATCGAGTTATTCTCTATTAGGTTAGTAGGTATGCTTTTCATTTTCGAGTTTCCCCATTTCTTTCCTCATTGGTTAGTACATATCTATTAATCTGACAATCATACTCAGAGTAGAACCTGGCACATATATACATCGGCTCAAGTTCCCATGCCCATCAACACACTGAGATGGAATTGTCAAAACAGTTTCTAGACTACCAAGGGTAGTAACAGTATTTGTGATAATAGAAATGATGGAATATTGAAGATATGATTCGAGAAGAAAACACAAGTTAGCTTACTGAAAAGAAATTAGAAATTAAGATCCTAGTGAAGGCAAAGAGTGGATGGACCTACGACATTGTGAATGATTGCGGCATATGTCACTCAGAATCTCTAATTATTGGTTACGATGATTACACAGTCACGAATCAGGTAGTCTGTACCTGCATATATGACTCAGTCGAACAGTCAGTGACTTGATGGAGTCTTGGTTTGGCCTCCTCTACTTTTCTCTCAACCAACTTGTAGACCAGCGAAGATGTGTGGTCTAGGCAGTCGGTGGATGGAGATATGTAATACATGTCGTGACCATGTTGTTCGATAAAGATTCACTACGTGATTAATTGATTTTGCATTTTTACCTAGTACCGTGGTTCTAAATTCAGTATTGCTTACTAGGTGATCTGAGAGTACACGAGCGGTACTTCGAATACGCTTATGATCAAATACTAGCAGTTTAAGAACATCATCAATTGTTCATTGGGATGTTTTCCATGAATAAAATAGAAGGGAGCGAACTGCTCTTCCGTATACTTTTCATTTCGTTGGGAGATGGATATGTCGCTTACGTTGAGGGTGACTAAAGTTGGCGAAAGTCGACCGGACTTTCTGAATTGGTGTCGAGATTTTGTCAGACACCAAACGATTACGAATGATGATACTCCTAGAATAAGTGAGATGGTCGACACACTCAACTACATAACTCCACATTGTTAGTTGAGCCGTTCGAACAGACCAGTAGTGAAATAAGATTTTCCTTTAGGAAAGATAGATTCATGGTAAAAATTATTTGATTGTTGGTTAAGGTTGTCGGAAGTGTGTGGATTTCATCAGGGACTTCACCAAACAGGACTATATCATCGTTGTATTTGAAGTTAAGAGATGGGTCTCGTGATTGAAGGTCGATTTGTGGAAAGTAGTGAGCCGATGAGAGTGTCATGTTGGAAGGGATGTCTGTGACAAAGTTGGGTGAAAATGAGGAAAAATGTTGAATCTAACGAGTAGGATTTAAGATTGGTGATTATGATGTCAGTTCTGCATAAGCTGTGTTTGGACACGTAGTGTTTGAGTGGAGAATCTGCACAAGGTTAATGTAGTTTTCTTATACTGCTCTAAATGATTGACACTGAGAGAGAAGCTGTGGAGTAAGGAAGTCGAATGTCTCTGGTTACCACAATAGGATTTCCGTTCCGTTGTTGGTTGGAATGATGAGCAATGGAGACCAGTCAGACGGTATAATGTGGGGTTGTTATAGTTATTTTTAGTGAATATTTGAATCAATCTGATAAACGAGAGTGTACCAGTATCCTTAGAGACATCAGGGTTAATTGATTAGTACCTGGTGTTCTCTGTCACTCTAAATTAGCTACGACCTTCCCTACTTCATTAGAAGTCGGATGACTTGTATTGACTGTCAAAACTGAATACTACTCTCAATGGTCTAAAAGTGATTTCACACACGCAATTGCCTTTTGAAGAGAAGAAAAAATATTTGAGGAGAACAAAATGAATTCATTTTATCTCGTTTTTGTTCTAGTTATTTGTTTACAACCTGTAATATTAAAAAGGCTATGAATACGAGATTGGGTTTTATGACGTATGTGAGTGTTATTGGGAAGGGTCGTTTGTTGTCTAACGTCGCCGCTCTTTCCATCGCTAATAGCTTCGCTGCCCGTCACTGTCCACGATCATTGCATAGACGTTTGCCAGTCCACGATTAATTTGCCTCTGCTCCTCGTCATGTTTCCAGGATTACTAGGTGATTTGCTAAGCATCTGTCGTCTCAATAGATCCCGCTAAAATCCGCTGATATTTTCAACTTCTTGGTTATAGTCGCTGTTAAGTATTGTTGATGTTTCCACGTGTGTCTAAATATCATGCCCAGCCATACCGGGGAAAACATTTTGATGATTGACTAACTGATTTTCCTGTCGTTCCTGAAATATGCCCTTGATTTTTTTGTCGTTAAGATTTCCTTAGCGTAACACGTCTGCATCCAGTTAGACGAAAACGAATGCATTCTCGTATCAGAGCATGATCAGAGTCTAGATATGTACCCCGGGATGAGCGGCTGTCTTCTGTCGAGCCCCCGATCTTGGCTGTTGGTGATACAGTCTGTTTGGGTCCATCCTTTAGTCGATCATGGAGGTCTCCATGTCAGATGATATCTATCTTCCTGCTCGAAGTTGGTGCTTGCTAAGAATAGACGCTTATCTGAGCGTTTTTGTAGCAGACCATCGCCATTGTCTGTTCGTTAAGCTGGTACACTGTGAGATTTGTTTAAGTATCTTCCCCTTTTGTTTATACTACATACCTGGGTGTTAAAATCTCATGCTACGATTACTAGTTCTGAGCGTTTGGCTTTTTGTAGGAGGGCAGAAGACTTTCTGTAAATCTCTTAACTTCACCTAAACTACAATCAGTGGTAGCGTTTGTAGAGACGACGAAGTAGCAACGGTGTGTGCTCCAATTTTTTCATGTTCTTACCACTGCATTTAGTTGGATAGTGCACAAGCAACTGTCTATTGTAATTCAATCTTAATGATTCTGTTCTGCTTCGGGAATAAATGTCTATATCATTTGTAGGAAATGGTTATAAACTTTATTCAATTATTGCTCCGTTTTACGATGATATACTCTATGGTCACAAAACGGGCTTATTAATTAATTCATTTCCAGAACAATTAAGAGGGATCGATTCGGATATGGATAACATTCGTGAAGATCTACGCGAAGCACAACGTGACCTTGATGAGATCGATAAGTGTTGTGGTTTATGCGTTTTACCGTGGAGGAAGTAAGTTACATGTTGTATTTTAAGGTATCCGTAACCTCCGAATATTTCCATTAATAATGAAACGGGCGGAATGTGTAAACTGAGAGTTTTGTCCTAGAATCGATGCTCTAGCTCTAAAAGAACGGATTTCCTGAACGGAGCCATGGATTAACTGATTATATTATATGAATGTACACCAATATGGGATTGTGATGATGGTATGACTTCATAGAGATCTCAAGTCGACCTGAATTAGATAACTGACGGAGACCTGGGAGCACTGGACGACCGTTTCGTTCCAATGTGGGACTCCCCAGCAGCACACATCCATAACTGCAACCGGCGATCGAACCCAGGGCCTTCGGTATCGCCGGCGAATGTTTAACCTCTAGATCACTGAACCGGCATCTAATGGTGTGCATGTCTGACTTCAATAAATTAGGGATATTGCCCAACCATCTATTATTTTGGGTTGATGTGTCATGTGCTACTTATACGAACAGATATCAGTAGTATGCAGCTAGGATTGGAAGTAGGATTCTTACAATCAAGAGAAAAATGTGGAAAAGAGAAAAAACTTTTGGAGTGGCAACAATAATGGAAGGACGATGGAGTTCGTAAGAGACAGTTCAAGGAAGTTGTGCAAATGGTGTATTCAATGTATTGTTTTCATAATTTTAACAAACTCAGTCTGTCGTTTTGTTTAGTACAATAAAATGGCCTACCCTACCCAAGTTTTCGTCCATTAAGTTGGTATTTTCTTCACACCCAACACGGTCGAATTCCGGTGTCCATAGCTTCGCAACCGCATTGAACATTTAGTAGTTGTTTATTTCGAATGCCAATCTCATCTGTAAAGTATAATTTGCTTTACATCTTTCTATTTCTCATTTTCGTTTAGAGTCAAACCAGATTCGAAAACGCCGAAATACCCAACGAGTGGGAATGGTTATCTAACTGGAGCTAGTAATAATTATCAGGTTAACTCTTATCAGCCACAGTCAGGATTCCAAATTCAGCAAAACCAACAAAAGAGTGGGCCTTTCATCACCAGGTATACAGGTTTATTCCTATTCACTTCTTTTATTCCCCCCATTTTTGGACTGCGTCATATTTTATTCAGCGTTTTTAATTAACCATTAACAATGTACCAGATACATGTGGTAAGTGATATTTACATGAATACTTTCTCTCCTTCCTCCAAATCCTACATAAATGGTAGATAGACTGTACTATAAATGCACTAACTGCGGTCTTTAAAACTCTTATTTTGCAAAATTCAGAGTATGTCAATCTTATCCTCTTCAAATTGTTTTACAATTGTAGCAACACAGTAATTTCATCTTTATTGCCACTTTTCATAACACACCTAGTAGTCTTCAAAAGTTAGAGCTCTCCGGTTGTTTCGTTATTTTACGTTTTATAGTTTCTGAATGATTATTTTTTACTTCAGAGACAAGCGAAATCTCAAGGTGGTACTGAAGTATTGAAGTGTAGTTTTCTATTTTATCAAGTAACTCTGTAATTTTGTGCTAAAGACTCGGTTGTGCTCACCTGTGTTCTCTGTCACTACATTTGGTGTCGCTACCTCCACTAAGGATGAAAATTCCATGGCCGGAGGAATTCGAGGACGGAGATGTGCTGAGCTTCCGAAGGAGTTTGAGGCCGTGGTGGAGCTGGTGGAAGTGAAAGAGCCTAAGGCAAAGATGGTGGTGCTGGTGACGCTGCTGAAGGCAGGGCGGAGGTCGACAGCCCGGCGGACAGAGAAGTACTGAAGATGTTCCGGTTAGCGAATTTGTCGATCGATGGTGACCCACTGGTGCTGGCAGTGGAGCTTACCAGGTTGTTGCACCGCGCGCTGCCGAGTCTGGATGGGGAGTTGGAGGTACAGTTGTTGGCGTCGCGGTGCTGAGATAAATCTTCCGTTCGTAGTAACCACAAGCCTATCGAGACCCATATTAGGAGCAGATTTCCTAAGAGAAGTAAAAGCAGTAGTTGACTTAAGAAGCGGTAAGGTGGTCACAAAGTACTGTTCATTCCCAATACATGAAAGTAGCGAAGTGGCTGAGATAAGAGTGGCAACAAACATTTCGATGAAGAAACCAAACCTTAACGAGTTGTGCACAAAGTATACGAAACTGTTCACGGGAGACAGAGCCGTACGGATTTTGTTGCAAAGTAAAGCACGAAATCCTGATATATTTGCAACACGTCGTGTCCTTGTGCATTTAGAGGCCATGGTAAATCGAGAGGTTCAGGAGATGTTAAAAGAAGGTATAATTGAGGAAGAAGACAGTTCGTATAACTCGCTGGTACTCTTGGTAAAGAAATCGAATGGAATATATAGATTTTGTGTCGATTTTAGAGAACTAAATAACATAACAGAACTGAAACCTTGTGCAATCCCAACAGTAGGGGAAACATTAGATCGGCTGCAGAATTCTACGGTATTTACAGTGCTGAATTTGCGGTCAGGTTACTGGCAACTGCTTATAAACGAGCGGTCGAAGCAGGACAGCATTTACTGTACGTGATAAACATTATCAATTTAGATGAGTGCCGTTTGGGTTGACGGGTGCACATTTTAAGTTCAGAAGATTAGTGATACTGTTGCTCAGGGGTCTAGATAACGTCGAGGTGTATGGTAACGAATTAATAAAGACTAGTCGCAGTTTGCGAAAAGTAGCGTCACGTTGTTGGGGCATAAAGTGGGAAATGGAGAAACAAAATCAGTGCCGGAGAAAATTCTAACCATAAAGAACATTACAGTACAATTCCTGGGAAGGACAGCGTTCTACGGTCGGTTCGTCAAGGACTTCAACGAAATAGTAGCACGCCTATATAAGTCGTTGAGCAACACTAAGTTTACGTGGACTGAGACCGCCCAACAAACGTTCAACCGAATCAAAAACATGCTAGGCAACCTCCAGATGACGCTCAGACTGCCTGGACCTGAGAAACAGTTTACAGTGGCCACAGACGCAAGTAATCATGGTATAGGTGCCGTCTTGAGTCAGTCTGATAGAGTGGTTGAATACGCGAGTCGCGTTTTCACACACACTGAAAATAATTATTCAAAGGTCGAAAACAGCGTTTAGCGATTGTGTGGGCAGTAGACAAATGGAGACCGTACCTTTTAGGTTGACGATTCCACATCGAGACTGATCATAAACCCCTTCAATGGCTGAAAACAGCAAGAGACCCCGTGGAGATTTGGAGCGATGGATGCTAGGTCTACAGGAGTACGACTTCAGTATTGGCCATGTTCCAGGAAAGGAAAACGTAATGGTGGACTAATTCTCAAGACCAGACATGGAAGCCGAGCTTCCGTTGACAACATACGCAACGAATAGTATAAAGAGAAACCCACTAGAACTTGTCCGACAGCAGAAAGCTGACCCTATACTTATAGAGGTAATCAGAGTAATAAAAGAGGGGGCAGACCTCGACACCGAGCAATGAACAAGGAGGTAATGATGTTGCTTCAACAAAAGGAAAGACTGAGAGAATGTATATGAAGCCCTTATCTATCAGGACGATGAAGAAAATTAGGTGGCTGTAATCTCGAAGATGATACATGAGTTTCACCGGAGAGCGCATACAGGTATTGCAAGAACGACGGATTTACTAAGACAACGTGCATACTGGCCAAGCGTGAGAGACGATGTGGCTCAATACATGTTAACTTTCCAGCAGTGCCAACTAATGAAAAGCGATCGATACTCACAATCGCCATTACAGTCAGTCCCAGTAACCGCAGTCGGTGATTTATGGTCGGTGGATGTGATGGGACCGTTTCCACAGATGGCAGGCGGCAACTAGTACCTGCTAGTGATGACAGAACATGCTACACTTTGGGTAGACGCCTTACCCATTGCAGACCAGCGGGAAAAAACAGTGACCGAAGTAGTAATCCGGCATGTTGTAGTGTTTTATGGAATATCGAATATGATATTAACCGAACAGGTTCCCCGTTTTAAAACTGTCGCTTTTAAAGCCCGTCTAAAGCAGTTGGGCATCAAGAGGATACGAACCACACTGTATCACCCTCAGATGAACGGGCTTACAGAAAGAAATAACCGGACGTTAAAGGAATGGTCAGCATCTAAAGGAGGAAATTGAGAGAAAGAGTTACCATTAATTTTGCTGGCACATCATGAGTGCGAGTCACGAACAGCAACAAAGAATGTAGCGGTACGGCCATCGGAGAGACTGCGAGAACAGCTTATTAAGAGGGGGGACAAGTGTGGTGTGTGCTACTTATGTTGACGTGAGTAGTATATAATGCCAACCAGGAATAGATTGTCTGTCAGCAGAAGGTTGATAAGATCGAGGATTGAAGAACGGGAGCAGAAAGCAATTGGTACGGAAATGCAGAAACAATGAAGCCTGAGACAATTAATGAACATTTTGCAAATGAAGTTTTGGAGTACGGTTTTTCTACTTTATCAAGTAACTGTAATTTTGTGCTAAATATTCGGTTGTCCTCACCTGTGTTCTCCTTCACTGCAGTGCGTCTGGTAAGTAGGAAAGGTGATCTAGCTTGATAATTGAAGTAAAGTCAGAAATTCTCGGTCAATCATTTCTAAATGTCTTTGCACATTGTTGCATACTTACTGGTCAGGCTTTATCCTTACAAGTGAATTGCAACTTTCATCAATCATTAACCGAATGAAGACAGGTCATCTAAGTCACACTCACTCAAGATAGTAGGCGTATGAGTAAAATTCTGTCTATTATTTCCTTAATTATGACCATATTCAACAACCTTATTAGCTCAGACTATTTTCTCAATACCGTTCAATCTTGTTAGTCACTATCGTTCTTATGAAATGCTTTTTTTCCGTTGTATCACTAAAACATAATTAGTTGTTATAAAGTGCTCTAATTACCTATAAAATCTATCATATGTGATGAAGGCTTGAAGCTGTGACAATAGTTTAAAATTAATTTTACCTATCTAAATTTTCTTATAAGCAATTGACTTTCTAGTTCAGTGTTTATCAAGTAGAAAGTTGTTTCTGTTGGAAATGATATTTCTCTTTTTTCAAATCGACTTACAGAATCACCAATGACGCTCGTGAAGACGAAATGGAACAGAATTTACAACAAGTTTCAGGGATGGTATCTCAACTGCATTCTATGGCTACTGATATGAATCAAGAGATAACAACACATAATCAGATTCTTGATCGAATCGATCAAAAAGTTTGTTTTTTTGCACTTACCTTTATTTTATTATTCACTGTTTAGTACTGTCATCCTTTTTTACTCATTCCTCCAATTATCGACGTCATTGAAGAATGTTGAGGTATATTGGTCAAAAAAGTCGAATAGTATCACTAGCTGGTATACGACAGTCATATATTGTGACTCAAAGTCCGTGAGTACACAAATCTGTAGTCTTAATTCAACTGTCATCGGTAATTCGTCCAAGCTACCTTATGTATATTTCATGTTTGTCAACTCTCAGTTAGTTGCCTCTGAATCTCTATGATGTGTACCTGACATTGACTATCAAATAAAATTTGTGAATCATGATGTACCATGAACAAGATTTTATTCTGACGCACTTTTCTATTTAGATTATTGGTACTTTAAGACAATGTGATATTATAATATCTTGCCTGTCTACATGGGAAATTATTTGTTTTTATTCAGGTATTATGATTAAAGTTGAGAGAAAACCTGTTTTGTATTTAAAACTTCACCAGACATTTTCGAATATCCATACAATAAAATTGGTTTTCTTTCATCCCTTAATTATTACTCAGTTGGTCTACCAATCAACCAAACTGATTAACAGCCTATCAAGTTTTTATTCTTCCAGTACAAGTTATAACTATGTACATGTACGTTTCGATAGTCCAAGCCAAAAATACCCAGTGCACATTGTTTAGTCGGTTAAATTGAATAAAAAAAATAGACTCCCGAACGAAATAATTATTAGTATCAGAAGGTTATTTTGACTGTTCAGTTTATATCATGGGCTGAATTTACATAAACAACCAAGAAACACTGATAGCAGTTCCAGTTTAATATAGGACTTCTATTTTACGTCCGACACGGGTAAACTCCATTGTCCCCAGCTACTAAAATAGACACTTATACTCAGTGGACGTTTTTGTGATTGGATGACAAACGACATTTTTTGGGTCAATTCCAATCAGATTAATGATTATTAATATTCAAATCTTGTTTCAACTGGATAGAAATTAGTTTGTTAACTAGAATCAAGTGTTTATTTTATTTATTTATTTGAACACATTAATATTGGTACAAAGGGGCACCAAATACATATGCACCACACAATTCACTTGATTTGTGTGTGTGGTATGATATTACCCGCGTGCTCAAATCGAAGCAGGAATCAAGTAAAATCTTAAACACTTGTTTATAACTTTCATTTGTTACATTGAAGGTTAAACTATATAAAACTAATCATATGAAACGAATGAAAACCACTTTCCCTTAAGAAATAGTTATCGAGTCAAGAAAGTGAAAAATATCAAATTGATTACAAATAATCAAATGTTCCATACTTGAAGCATAAAATGCTTTTCTTGATTATAAATGATCTATAATTTTACTCAACACATTCCGTGTTTAGTTAATCTAATTGATCTAAGAAAATGAACTGCATAGGAAGCTTCATTTGCTGAGTAATACATTTTACAGCTCATGGATATTAATTAGTGTTAGTGTGTATAATCAAGACTTGAAGCATTCAAATTCGATGGTGAATCTTAATGAGTTGAATAATCTAGCTTCTTATTGAAGCATTCTTACCCTTGAATTTAATGTAGTATACAACCTCAGTACATTGTGCAACATCACGGTAAGCCCAATCAGATCTATACATCGTATCACCTACTTTAATGGTTGTGATAATCACGGTTGGAATTCTTTTTACGTTAAAGTCTGTAAACATCCCATTATATTTTCAAGTATCTCACTCTTTTGTGTAGAAATCAATTATTTTTAAGAGTCGTATTTCTTTCTCTTTTATGGAAACATGCTAAAATTTCTTAAAACTTAAAAGGGACCAGTTAATTTAGGGTTGTAAATGCATCGCGTTTCATTGAGTGATATCTTAGTGACTAGAACGCTTGGTTTTCCCTAACTAACTTTTAATCCCTTTTTACCCACACTAATGTGGACACCCAGTGCTTTCACACTACTGTAGTGTGTGACTCAAAGCCCTGAGTACATCAATCTGTAGTTGGTAGCTGCGTTAATCATGTAAAATCCCTGTGTCTATATAGATGTGTTCTGTCAAATAGTCTATAAATTTTTCCAAGTGATAACCGAATGTAAAAGGTAATCTAGTTGTGATATTTTTATTTATAATACATTTTTTAAAATTCTACTTATCCAAACATTAATTTAATGCATCGAAATATTGCTTTCTAGGCGCAGTATAATCAGTCACAATTGGCGTTCGCTCAAAAGAGAGCTGATAAAATTTTAGGGTAAGTTTATTGTGTATATATTCAATTAATTGAATTCATATAGTTGCCATTAATTGTTCATGACGGAATCTTAATTATATAATTGAAATATCTTATTTATTAATTATATTTGATAAAGTTAATCAACATTACTGACTAACTAGCACGAAACCTAGGTCCAGAGTATCCTAACGACTAGCTTCAACCATTTAACATCTTAATTAAATTGTACTATTTCCTTATTTCCATAAAGTCCACAGTTGAAACTCATTGCTCCAAAAACACCAGGTTATATTCTCTAATACTCATTAGATTATAATTAACCAAACTCTTTTAGTGTTCGAATTTTAACTAATGGAAATTTTGCTGATTATTTCAGTTATACAGGATAGTTGACTGTAATATTTTAATGGATTTATAGATAGGTTTTTTTGTGTTTTACATATGATAAAACTAATAATATGAATTATCTGCATCCTGAAACTTTTTATGGAGGGTAATAAGTTAACTAAATTGATAACCACCTACAAGTCAACTACTTAATCTCTCATCCCATTTTGTAACCAAACTGAGTGATACAACAGCGGGGGCAAATAAATACAACATCGTTATCTATGAAAGAAATGACACCAACTTCGAAAAGCATTAATTCGGATAAGGTAAACATCCTTTTCACCTATACATCATCATGCACTTGTATTCAAATAACATGATAGAATATCGCTTATATTTATACATGCAACAGTCTAACATAAGCATTAAAATGATTGTGAATGTGTCAGAATTCTGAATGGAGTATATTCCAAGAACATTGGAGAATTCCTTGAAACATATTATTCAGGTCAATCTACAATCAATAGGCATAATAATATAGATGTAGTTTGTCAATCATACCGTTTAGTATAGTCAATTGAATGAAATAATCAATGAAAATCCAAAGGTATATAAAGATAATAAAACCTACTAAAACAATTGAAGGTCAACAGAATTAACTGATTTAATGTTTATTGAGTAATCTAGAGATAACCCACATCTATTTAGCTGGTTTAAGCATTAACATTATTGACCACAATAAAAATGAAAATTTTACAACCAAATCATCATTGAATTTAATAAAAAAATGTAGTTAGAACCAAAATAGATTACCACATCTAACTGAATAGATTTTGTATCATTTGATCTAATTTGTCCCATCTCCATATCAACAATTTTTGTCAATATTTTTGACTAAATAATTACATGATTGTTATTTGACATTTAGTTAATCAACTGTAAGCAAATACCCCTGGTACGGCCGAGTGTGGAGAGTCCGCTCTCCTTCTCCGAATGCTCTCACATGGTCACGTGCATACAACCACTGCCAGGGAAGTCCTACTCACTGCCTTCTCGTGGCATCACTGTTGTTTACCAAATTGATAGGTCGAAAAGCGAATGTTCGTCACTTTAACCGGGTTGGTGGACACAGGGAGTTCACCTAAGGGAGATGGAAAACCCTGACTCCAAACCAATGGTGCACATGTGCTTTACGATCCTGAGGGAACAAGTGGCATATGAACCTATTGTTGGTCATCGGCTACCATGGGACTGCATCTTCTTACGTTGCTCCACTGCTTTGTGAATTAGACTTTCAGGTCGAAGTCTCCGGTTGTGGTCCCCTAAAAGAACCACGTACTTCTGTTTGGGCCCACGGGCAGTTTCATAGCCCTCACACAAATCAAATGGTTTATGTGGCGCATATTTGTTTGGTGCCTCCATATACCAATGTTTATGTATTTAAATAAATAAATAATATAATATAATTTGATATCAGCACTAACATCAACTATACTTCACTTAATTAACAGGTGCATCCACTATTTGTGTTCTTTCAAATTCTAATCTTCTGAATTCTTCATGTCTTTTTTTTTCTATTTCCAAATTTATTTCACTTTACTATACTCGTTGAGTAACATCTTTAAACCCTAATCTTCCCGATTACTGCTTATAGTTTTACTACCTCTACCACTATGGGATTCGAATAGACAATTGTATCTCTGTGCTAATGTGGTATGGCAACTCGAACTGATGTACGCATGTACGAAGTTCTACGTTGCTACTGACCGACTAATTAACATAGCTATTAAGTTAAAAATAAACAGGTTAAAATACACCACCGATTTGAGGTATTATTATTTCTCCAGCAACAAGATACATAAATCTTGGTATAATTTTTTCTAATGTTGATTTGAGTTACTTGTTTCTCTTTTTTTTTAATGTTTTTTTATTATTTGAATGTTTAAGAAAAAACACAAATAAGACGAAAGAAGTATCAGCAGATCAATTTTCTTTTGTTTTCATTGTTCATTTATTATTGATCTTTTTTTGTACTCAATACAATAGGTTTCTATTTTAATTTTGTAATATATATATAATACATACAATACTTAGTATCCGTTGAGTAGTCACATGATTTCTTTTCTTGGTTCTTCACTTATGCAATACATGATAAGAAATAGAAAGTTAGAAAAGTAAGAAAACTCTTAAATATACATGTAAGATTACAAATATAAAACGATTACTGTGTTGTTCTCATGAATATTTATTTAGTCAGTTGTTAAGGTCATCATCTACCACTTACTAATACTGTTACCACTGACCAGATCCATATGTATAGTTGTATGGATATGTGTTGCCCCCTCTTCTTCTTTTTCTTCTTCTTCTTTTTCTTCTTCTTCTAAGGATTCTAGTACTGTTTTTAATCTGCTCTGGTGCAATCACTTTAGCAAACAGTTTCATCATCGATCGACTAACATTTCTTTATTTTCACGTCATTCAGACAATACTATCATATTATATATGAGTTCTAAGCTGTCGATTTAACTTTAATACTGTACTTATCTTCCTCTCAATTATGGCGTTTCACAATTTCAACCAGTCGTGCGGTATTTGGGTGTCATAGTCTTAACTAATTTGTTAGTAGTCAGCAAACATTCTCATTGTTATCTGTCATTAAGCTGCTTAGGAGCATGAGTTAAGTTCATTCTGTGACTTGGCATTTCGTATTACATTATTTTCAAATTATCAAAATGAACCGAAAATGTAGTTTTTTGTCACTTTTATTTTCCTTTTGTTGGTTTTTTCTTATTATGCTAATGCTGAATGTAGCAAACTAGATCTATGCTCAATCGTACTAGGTTCCCGCTTGTTGTTACTTGTTCGCCAAAAAAACGAATGACTATGTGGGTGGTACAATTTCTACTTATTACAGTATTAGGCTTGAAAGATACAGTAGACGCCCAACTTCGAGATCAACATGCTGGATTTCGTAGGGATTGGTCGTGCACAGACCAAATTGCGACACTACGGATCATCGTCGAACAATCAGTTGAGTGGAACTCGTCACTATACATCAACTTCATTGATTATGAAAAGGCATTTTACAGTGTAGATAGGAGAACGTTATGGAAACTTCTTCGACACTACAGAGTTCCTGAGAAGATTGTCAATATTATCCGGAACTCATATGACGGACTACAGTGCAACGTCGTGCATGGAGAACAGCTGATAGATGCATTCCAAGTAAGGACCGGAGTCAGACAAGGCTGTTTACTCTCTCCCTTCCTCTTTCTTCTGGTGGTCGACTGGATTATGAAGACCTCGACATCTGAGGGAAAACACAGAATACAATGGACAGGTCAGAAGCAATTAGACGATTCGGACTTCGCAGATGACCTGGCCCTTTTATCGCATTCACATGAACAAATGCAGATAAGGCAGCCAATGTAGCAGCAGTCTCTGCATCAGTAGGCCTCAGCATACACAAGAGGAAAACCAAGGTCCTCAAATTCAAAGCGGAGAACAGCAATTCAATCACACTTGATGGCGAAACTCTGGAAGATGTGGAATCCTTCACATACCTGGGAAGCATAATCGATGAACAAGGAGGTTCAGATGCAGACGTAAAGGCGAGGTTTGGCAAAGAAAGGACAGCATTCTTACAGTTGAAGAACATATAGAACTCAAAACAACTTTCAACCAATATCAAAGTGAGAATCTTCAATACGAATGTCAAGGCAGTTCTACTGTATGGAGCTGAAACTTGGAGAACTACAACAACCACAATCAAGAAAGTACAAGTATTTATAAATAGCTGTCTACGCAAGATACTTAACATCCATTGGCCGGATACCATCAGCAATAGCCTTCTGTGGGAGAAAACAAACCAACTTCCAGCTGAAGAGGAAATTAGGAAGAGAAGATGGAAATGGATAGGGCATACACTACGCAAATCGTCAAACTGCATCACGAGACAAGCCCCTACTTGGAATCCTGAAGGAAGGCGGAAAGGAGGAAGACCAAAGCACACATTACGTCGGGAAATAAAAGCAGATATGGAAAGGATGAATAACAATCGGAAGGAGCTGGAAAGGATTGCCCGGACAGGGTTGGATAGAGAATGCTGGTGAGCGGCCTATGTTCCTTCACGAGGAGTAACAGGCGTAAGTAAGTAAAGTATTAGGCTAAGAGATTTGTATGACTGAAGGCTTGGTGTTTTTATGTCCTACAACCGACTATTACGTGTAGATGACCTTAAGCAACCAATACCCAGCAAAGACGATGGGAAAAACAGAGAACTGGGTACACAAATAATTGGTTATAGTTTATAAGTAGGGAATGCTATAGCGACAATTTACGGTTCAAATAAAAGCATAGAAATAGGGTAACACAAAAATAATAAAACCAAAAATACTTAATAAACATGCAATCAACATAGATATAAATGAAATCGCAGAAAAATAGCTTCGAAAGTTTTTACCTCATATTGTCAAGTCGTCTCTTACAACAAATTCTCTTCACAAACAACATATATTATCTGGCGAACCGTTAGAAGACAATAAGCTGATGTTTTGTCCTGGTTCAAAACTCCTGCAATATTCACGGTGCCTTTAGACAAATTAACCGACATTCCCATACTTCACAGTCTTCAATAGTATACAATAGCAGTTGCAAACTAGAACGAAACGGCTCTTCAGTGCTCACTGGTTTTACAGCAGCTTTTTTAACTGGTGTTTGTCTGTGATCCAAACTATCCTCAAACTAGAGCTTATGCCCACTTAAGTTTTCCGTAATTGATATGCCAAGGGAAACTTGCTTAGATAGCGTTCTTTGGACAACTACCACCCCCACTCTCTTTTGATGTTTTCATTTGAATCGCCTGCAAAATACTACTTAGTTTTCGACTCATTTAGACTCTGCCCCCTTTTTTAGAACATCTGTCAATTTCCAACCTGCCGGATGAACGGAAGCAATGAGTTGGCTAAAGCTTCTGTCCCACTTCACCTTATTGTTTACTTTGGGAATATCTTCCACAACGGAAGTCTAGACGTTCCACGGCAAAATTCAGAAAGCTAGATCTCCACGGCTTGTGCGTCTCGTAGACGTTTTAATCCAGGCGTCTTCAAAATAATTGCTAGATATTTTAATTTCTTTCTTTATGCAGAATGGTGACTACACTAAATGGTGAAGAGGGTTTCGAGCACCTTAATTGCTGAGCCACCACTCTACGTTTCATTGATATTACTCATACTTATTCACATAGTTTTGATTTAATGATCTAACGATCAGACATTTAAATATTGTGTCTCACACATTCAAATATGATAATTATAGGATGATGGCTCAACAGTTGGTGCTTATTCATCCTCTCCGTAATGTAATAATACTAAATTGTTCATCAGAATAAACTAAGAAATTGCACCGACTGTTTTGTGTAAATAGCCACTTATTTCCTGTATAGATATTTAAACACGAATTAGCATAATGTTAGTGATAGAATTTATAAGTACTTCATTTATTCACTAGTCAAATCAGCGTTCATAACAAACATATTTCATGATAAATATGGACTTCTTCAGTCTCCCTATAATTGGTTAACGAATGTATTTATTTCATACGATTGATACATTTCACAAATTTAAATAAAGGGATAATGAAAATATCCGTTGAATGTAGTGAATTCATTGTATCTACTTGTTTTCTTTTTGACTATTTATTTATTTGTTTGAACACATAACTGTTGGTACAAAAATGCAACGAATACATATGCACCACACAATAATAATGCAGCCAGTAGCAGTTATCATTGATTTGTGTGAGGGCTGTGATACTGCTCGGGGTTCACACCTCCAACATTTGACCTAGAGGTCTGATCCACAAGACAGTGGAGCAACGTTAAAAGATGTAGTCCCATGGTAGTCACTGACCAATAATTGGTTCATACGCCATTTATTCAGTCAGAATCTAGGAGCCCATGTACACCATTTGTTTAAAATCAGGGTTTTTCAATTCTCCTAAGTGGATCCTCCATATCCACCAACCTGAATAAAGTGTTGGACATTCGCTTTCCAACCCTTTCAATTTCGTAAACAACGCTACATACAAGTTTAATGATAACTTTAGTTATTTTTAAATGAATTAACATATTATGGAATTGGTAACATGAATTGTCCATAAACAACGAATCACTTGTTTGTAATGTAAATAAAGAGTTGAAATTTTTTCTTAATAATTGCTTATAGTTATGATTTTAATATATTTAAGATAATTTTTATTACGTAATATAAAAAGCATTTCGAAAGTTTCGAAAGACATTTGAGTTAACCTCACTAAATTATGATTATGATTAATTGAAAAATGAAAATAATAATAATAATCAAATCAATATTTAAACTTTCATAACTTTCAGTTCCATAACATGTATAAATATGAATTAACATCAGAAGGAGTTTTGTGAATATTATTAGTAATTTTAGTAGTTGAGATCATGAGTCAAATGGAGCTAGACCATCACCATGGAAAACCTGGAAGCACTGGACAGCTGTTTCGTCCTATTGTAGGATTCCTCAGCAGTGCGCATTCACGATCCCGCCTCGCGAGATTTGAACCCAGGTGGTCTAGTTTCAATTGATTCATGATCTCAACTTTTAAAAATATTATGATATCCATAAAAGCCCCTTCTGATATGAATGACTGGCTTCATGAGGTATATCCTGGAGTTCTAGTGACAGGCAGTGACCAGTGGAGTTCAAGTGGGTCTGTTGTGAGATAGTAACTCACTGATGACAATGGTGTATGTGTGACTCAATTTCGTAGATTAGTTGAAGTCAGATATTAACACTGTTGGATGCCGGCCAGCTCAGTGATCCAGAGGTTAAGGGTTCGCGCGCGGGACTGATAGGTCCTGGGTTGGAATCTTGCTGGGCGGGACCGTGGATACACACTGCTGAAGAGTCCCGCAACAAGACAAAACGGCCGTTCAGTGCTGCCAGGTTTTCTGTGGTGATGGTCAAGCTTTAATTGACTCATGATCTCAACTATTAAAATAAATATGAATTGATGGAAATACTCTACTACTGAGTTGAAAAGTTGCGTTCATCAGTAAAGCTCAAGTAGGAATGCGCTATCATATATAACGAATAAATGGGTACCCTTAAATATTTATGGAGAATTGAGGTACTAAATGCCGTTGTTGATAAACTTGAAAAGAAACATAGCTCTATCTAATTGATATTCATAGGTGATAAAATCACAAACAGAGTTAACCAGTGGCAGGGAAAGATTGCTTTTAAAAATGGCGTGTTTGCATAGGTTCATGTTATTTAACCATAAATACTTCTAATGGATTGCTCGGATATTATTTGGAACACTCAATGAGCAGTGTTGATGTTAGACGAAGGATACTTGGTGAGGATAACAAATCGATTGGTGAGGTAACGATTTCTGATCAACTGAGGTGATTGAGGCATATAGTACGTCATACCTAACCAATGCCTTCTTTAATACGGCCTTCAAATGCCCTGGTACGGCCGAGTGTGGAGAGTCCGCTCTCCTTCTCCGAATGCTCTCACATGGCCACGTGCATACAACCACTGCCAGGGAAGTCCTACTCACTGGCTTCTCGTGGCATCACTGTTGTTTACGAAATTGATAGGACGAAAAGCGAATATCCGTCACTTTAACCGGGTTGGTGGACACAGGGAGTCCACCTAAGGGAGATGGAAAACCCTGACTCCAAACCATTGGTGCACATGTGCTTTACGATCCTGAGGGAACAAGTGGCATATGAACCAATCGTTGGTCACCGTCTACCATGGGACTGCATCTCCTTACGATGCTCCACTGCCTTGTGAATTAGACTTTTAGGTCGAAGTCTCCGGTTGTGACCCCCTAAGAAAACCACGTACTTCTGTTTGGGCCCACGGGCATTTTCATAGCCCTCACACAAATCGAATGGTTTATGTGGCGCATGTGTACTTGGTGCTTCCCATGTACCGATGTTTGTGTGTTTAGATAAATAGATATGTGTGATTACTTTTATTATTAGAGATATGGATGGTTGTGATAAGTATACCAGTTAACATAAAACCTAAGAACAACATGACAATCTTCTGATTGCTTCCAATTACTTTAAACTAAACAATTTTCAACCAAACTACAAGTTTTCACCTTTATTTCTGCTAATTTATTATTATTATTATTATTATTATTATTATTATTATTATTATTATTATTATTATTATTATTATTACTTATAGACAATCATCGAAACCGGACAGCAAAAGTAACAGTGTTTTACCATCCAGTACAACTCTTACAGCCGCAAAAATGATGATGAAATAATGATATTGATACGGATAATAATGAAATTGATGATAATATTAATCTCCAGGTGTGTGTTTTGGTTTTTGCCGTTAAATCTGCTGAATATCCTTTCACGCACATTCACCTATACATTTTTATTTTATATTTATTTATTCATTATTGTTTCTTCTCTTAAATTGACCTACTTTTCAGTGCCTTTGAAGCTAGGACTATCGTTTGTCTCCACTTCTTGGTTTTTTTTTGATATCGTGATTATTCCTTTCTGTTTATTGGCTTCTTTGTTTATTTTATAAAGAATCATATCTCTGTTATAATTTTCTATTTGTTTATTTTTCTCGTACGTGTGTATATGTGTCTCTTACAACTACGAACAATATAATCCTGTGCAAAAAGTTTGCAATTTTCTTTTGGTGCCTTGTTAACAATGCCTTTTTTCAATTTCTCTATTCAAATTAGAGTTACACAGATGATGTTTTTTGCTCGTTTTTTTTTTGTTGTTGCATGATTTTGGTTTATTTTTGTAATATTTTGTAACTGCTTCTTTCTTTCTTTTTCATGGAGTAAAAAAACATTTCACTGTATTCTAACAACTGTCCACAAATAAATAACACCATATTGTTAATTCTGTTGAAAATGTCGTGTGTGTGTGTGTGTCCCCGCCCGTAAAACTCTACTCATCAAAATGTATTAAGGATTGTAAAATTTACATTTCATTTGAATGATGAACCATCTCTTTCATTTTCTCATTTGCTAATGTTGACCAGTTACACATAAAATTGCACACAGCTACACTCACATTTATTTACTCTTGAACTAAAATGTAATATCAATCACTTTATCTATTGTAAACATAAACTAACAACAAGAGTTAATCCAATTCTTTCTCCAGTCTGTTTTAGTTGAATATGAACGATTGATATCTGCATAGATAATATGAAAGACTAATTATAATTACTTATTCCACAGGTTTATTTTTTACTACTAATAATAATTCTGTTTGCTTCAGTTCATCACTGTTGCTAATGGTACGACAAAGAAAATCGAGAAAGAGAAATTATTAAAATGAAATTGTAAACAAAAGTGTAATTAAAATAAAAATGGTTTATTCAAAGTATAATTTTTAGTTGTTTTATTGTTATAATTATGTGAATGAATTCGTTTGTTGAATGTTTGTTAATGATAAGGATGTTGTTGTTTCGTCTTCTTCATTATATTAATAATAATAATAATAAGGTATGCCTATACAAAAGATTCACTTATGAAACTGACAATTGTCTATTATTTGTTGAAGTATTGTTGTTCTATTTCAATGGATTGAAAGAAAATTATGAGAATTCCACAGTTTATTATTCACGAAAATGTCCAGTTAATTTTGAATTAGTAACTATAGCTAAGCAGTTTATAAAAAAGTAAAGTGGTTTTTTTTAGAACCACAGATTGAGATAAACTAGATTAAATAAAAATGTGATAATATTGATTTGTGGAAAGTAGTGAGACAATGAAAGCGTAATGTCGAGAAGAATGTCTGTGACAAAGTTGGATGAAAATGAGGAAAAATGTCGAGTCTGACGAGCGGGATTTAAGATTGGTGATTGTGATGTCAGTTATGCATAAGCTGTGATTGGACGAGTAGTGTTTCAGTGGATAACCTGTACAAGTTTGGTGTATTTTTCTTATACTGCTCTGAATGATTGATACACAGAGAGAAGCTGGTACGTGGCCTTTGTACGTCCGGAGTGTGCAGAGCCAGCTCTTCATCTTGAAATGCTCTCACATGGCCACGTGCATACAACCACTGTCAGGGAAGTCTTACTCACTGCCTTCTCGTGGCATTACTGTTGTTTACGAAATTGATAGGACGAAAAGCGAATGTCCGGCGCATTAACCACGTCGGTGTATATGGAGGATCCACCTATGGGAGTTGGGAAACCCTGATCCCAAACCAATGGTGTACATTGGCTGGCTCCAGGATCTTGAGGGAACAAATGGCATCTGAAGCAATTATTGGTCACTGGCTACCATGGGACTGCATCTCCTGTTGTTGTTCCATTGCCTTATGGATCAGACCTTTAGGTCAATGGCTCTGAGTGTGAACCCTAAGAAAACCACCTGTTTCGGTTTGAGCACTCGGGTAGTATCTTATCCCTCATACTCTAGCTACGACTTTCGAATGACTTGTGTTGACTGTCAAATCTAAATGTTGCTTTCAATGGTCTTGAAGTGATTTCACACACGCAATTGACGAGGACGAGAACAAATATTTGAGGAGAACAAGATGAATTTAACTTATTTCACTTTGGTTCTGGTCATTTGTTTACAACTTGTAATATTAAAAAAAATCATGAATAAGAGATTAGGTTCTATGGCGTATGTAAATGAGCTTTGTCGGAATGCGTCCATGTATGTGTATATCGTTTACTGGAAACCATGTGAAATTCTATTCTTAGCATTGTTTAAGTAAGCTGATTTGATTGAATCCGATCAGTTATTATTCTTTATATTTTATGGTAACAGATTTATTTTGTTTGCAAAGTTATGATAATATAGTGCAATTTTTTTTCTCGATTAACAATACATTTACTTTCATGTTATTATATTTTTGTCTGTTTTGTGCTGGGTTTCTTTTTTGCGTGATGTATTTTGATGTTTTAGATTGATGATACTATACAGATAGTTTAGTTTTCTTCATCCTGTATATAAAATTCATTGTTTCTAAATTAAATAACGCATTTATCAACCACTATATTGTGCGTCACATGTATGAGTAGATATAAGTGGTATTCAGCAGAAATAAGAAGTGAAATGTTTACCAATAGAAGATTGAAATAAAGGGATTAGATAGGAAAAATGAGAGCAATTAGCATAACAACAGAATTGGAAGAATGATACAGTATTTTAAGAAGAAACTCTAGGAAGATGAGGAAATGATATATTTAATGTATGATTTTGATATTTCCCAAAGGTACTCTGTGATCTATTAAACAATAAATCGGTTTACGGTACCTTCGTTCACTACACCACTAAGTATTTATTTTCGCGTATTAACTCGTACCTTGATTCTGCTCAAATTCTAGCGATGACGATGGCTATTGGGTGAAGTAATCTGATATCACGATATACTTTCCGACTTGTAGGAGACTTATAGACCAAGATCTGTAAGTTTACCGCAAAGTATACTGACTAGTTTGAACATTTTGAACTTAAGGAAAGTTACTTCTTTAGGTATAAATTTAACAGTTACATGGTGGCTAATAAGTATTTGATGTTCAACTATCGATGTTTTCTCATGAACTGTGTAATTTGACAGTGACATAACTATGTTTACAAGATGAGGCGTTCATTTTGTTGAATTTAGTGCCAGATATCTTATAAATTTTACAGTAAACGTTTACTTGATTGACATGAAATGTAATTCTACAGCTTAAAGTAGCGTGCCAATGAACTTGCTTCATACAGATGACATTAATTCTAATTGATTTTGTTGTGGAATATGATTTGTAGCCCTTAGTAACTTCCTATTCTTACGGAATTATTATGTATTGGTTGTTACTGGTTATATCAATTCATAACAACATATTTTAACATTCCAAGTGCAATCGATGAATCAATGCTAACAAAGTGTCAGTTTCAGTGACATTGTGCTGATAGTCATTACTTTCACTTTATCATAATTATTGTATTCTTTCATCGTGCTATCAGTTGTATATATTTCATTTTTAAAGTGTTTATAAGTAATAAAAGAATGTATATCGGCATAGTACTCAGTTGATATTGTTGTTATAGACATGTGGTTTAGTAATACAATGTGTTGTTTTCTAATTTTGACATTCATTATCATTCGTTTACTCTTTTTGCTTTAGCGTAATCAATGTCATGGTTAAGTAACTTAGCCAATAAAGCTGAAAATTTTTTAAACACCCTCGATAATTCAGCTGCAGAAGTCTTCAGGTCAACTGATCAACAGAGATTTCTTGAAGAACATATCAGTGACTATGTGGACAATACTAGCAATTATCCCATTGAGACATCATTTAGATATCACACATTAACCGATTCTAACCAGCCTAATGAGTTGTTGATAAATTCAAGACATGATATGCCTGTTACAGTGAAACCATTGGAAATGTCAGCTACAACTAGCTTTTATCAATCATTATCAGAAAGCAATAATCAGCGTACACTGGTTGACACATTAAATAATAACACTTTATCAGAATTATCATCATCGTCTTCTGTTCAAAGCAAAATATCCAGGTAATTATTTAGAAAATGATAAAAACAAGTTGTATTAAGTTGCAGTTTATTGTTTAAACAAGTTATTATTACCATTTTTCAATTGGTTTGATCTTATCATTGACCTCTTTTATCAATACCCTAAAGGATTGAATTGATTAATGAAGCAACCAATTTTCAAATAATTTTTCGCAGTTGAGGACTTCACAAGTTAAGCGACAATCTATTTCAATTAGTTCTTCATCAAGGTTCTACACTAATATATTTGCTTTATGAGTGAATAAGAAATCGATACCCATTAAATGATGATGGGTCAGTTTAACAAAGTAATAATGAGTTAGTTGCATAATATTTGGAACATTATAATTAAACCTAAAGTGAATATTCATAATCAATTGATTATTATAAATAATTGCATAATTAAAATTGAATGTAAATAGTAATGTTTCTTGTTATCTGTGAAATTGATGATAACAACATAACAAGAACCATTTATATTTACATCCAATTTTAATTCTGTAACTATTTGTAGTAATTAACTGATTATGAATATTCATTTCAGGTTTACTTACGCCTGTTACCCCTCGTGTAGGAGTATAGGATTGTCCATCTAACTCTGTCCTGGTCATTGCTGTCCATCCTTTGGTGGGTACGGAGGATCCACCTAGGGTAGTTGGAAAACACTGATTCCAAACCAATAGTTTACATGGGCTCCAGGATCCTAAGGAAACAAATGGCATATGAACCAATTTATTGGTCACTGGCTACCATGCTTCTCTAAATCAGTGGCTTGGTGAGTTCCAGATTTGATTGTCTCTCCGTCTACTTCAGTTTAAGTAACCGATTTGTATTTCTAACTCTCATACAATCGCTACAATTGTAAGCTGAGGCCATATATATCTATAATTGATCAAAAAGTTACATTATATTAACAGGGTTTTTGCATGATTTTCAGGAATAAAGATTTGAAATCTGCAGCGAAATCAAACAGTTCGATACAACAATCAAATGATTTAGATTTATTTAATTTTTTAAATACTACTAAATCAGTCAACTCAGATGAAATCACCAATCCATTAGGACGAGACGCAGTGAGACGAGATTCTTTATTATCTACTAGCGATAAAATTGAAGAAGATCAGAGTAGTGGTTATGAAACATCACTGTCGACTAAACACTCTGGTACACCTGTTAAAACAAGTAAAGAAGAGAGTTCTACTGTAACAACTGTTCATGAACTAGAGGTTCTAAGTGAAGATTCTTGTAAACAGTCACGAAATACACATTCCTCTATTACTAGTGATCTTCAACTGGAGAATAAACTTCTTCGTAGTGAAGTTTCGTCTTTAAGTCAAGAGGTGTCTGGATTATTGCGGCGTAATCATAAAGCTTCAGAAGAAATTAAACAACTTACTGGTCAGGTGAGTGAGTATTGTTCCTTGAAGTATTTTCATGAATGGGGATAATGATGATCACTGCTTAAAACATTCAGTTATGAAATTGAGCCGCACTCCACCTACTTTTGTTTGAACTCCTAGAGAGTATCACTAATGTTCTCACACGATAATAGCATCGTTCATAAGTGGACTTGTATTTTGCGAGTATAAGGTGGGATTGAATGCTGAATGCATCGTTTTATTTTCGTTCTGATAAGTACTTTCATAGTTTTGACGGCTACTGATGTGAAACTAGAAAAGTCCTCAGTTTGATAATAGACTGGTTACGGTTGAACCAATGGTTCAGATTTTCGTAGTCAACCTTCTTCTCTAGTGTTTTTTTGTAGTTACTATTTCCAAAGATAACTTTCACAGATTTTATATTTACCAGACTTTTTGTAGTTAAATATGGTTTTGTGTGTGTATATGCTTGTTTGTTCTAATGGGTGATTAATCGATACTGTAAGTTTAAATTTACTTTGCTTTTTACTATGTAATATACTAGTAAATATGAATGATTGCACCTCTCTTCCGTACTTCCGGAACATTTCTGATTTCAGTAATTTAGTAATATCATATACAGTGTATTATTATTGTTACTATTACTATTTCAAACCCTTTATTTATTGATTTTGTAAATCTCATCTTGTGGTTGGTGATTTGATGTGACAATGTAGGTTGATGGATATTTGTATCAAATCCTTTGTTATGTCTAATTGACTAACTGTAGTATGTTCATTTAACTCTGTATGCTACTGAAAATGTGAATAGTTATATTCTGACTTAGTGGCATAAATAGTATCTTGCTGATTGTGAGGTTTGGGTTTTCAATGGTTCTCCCTGGTTGTCTACTAATGAACATAAAAAATGAAGCCGAAACATTGATAGAATGTTCCACCTGTTTTATTCTGAGTCAGAATTGAACTAAAATTTGTAAATTAATTCCGTCACCACTGTTATAGCTTGCTCTTCACTACAGAATTCAGAAATATCAACACAAGGGTGGCAACATTAGGTGAACGCAACACAGTTGCTCATCAGCACTATTTCTGCTAAACTCTTGGAGCAGCCACCAACTATTAAAAAGATAATGGGAAGACATTGGTTATCTGTGACTGCGAACAATATGTTTAGTAGAAAAGATACCAATCTTTGTATCCGGGTTTCCTTTACTGTTATATTGATTATATGTAAATAATTATAACTTAAAATGAATTTTGTACGGAATCGTTTTGAAACTGAATAAATACATAACAGAAATTGTCAGAATGCAGTAGGATAACATACCGAAAATATTAAAGTATAAGTTAACGTTAAACTAGATGATTATTATATCCAGTTAACTAATAATTTTACTGTAGTTCACTTCTTGTCACCGTGAATTTCAGTGATTCTCTACTTAATATCAGTTTACGATGAGAGAGCTTCAAATTTTACAGTCCAAATCAACTTATTTTAATTACACTACTTTATATCAAGCTGTTCTGTTAAGATTAGCCTAGTTTTTAGGTGGTATTTTTCATGGATTGATCTCAATTACTTTGTCATCGAAAACTAGGGAGTACTGGACAGCTCTTTCACCTCTTCATTAGAGTCTATCGGGGTCCAAACTTGGGATCTCTAGATCTTACAGCGATCCAATTTACTTCAAGATGAGTCCCCGAAATTCTAACAGGAGTTCATGATTCAGCTATGCCACTTCTGAGATGGTTGTCACTGATACGCTGGAATGGTCGTCGCACTATATCGCGAATGTAAATCACAGGTTTCCCACTCGGTAATCTAATGGTTGAACATCTGAACACCTGAAAGTTTTCTCAAGGTTCTCGGACGAAGTCGTTGATATTCACTTCTGAGGAGTTTCATATTAAAACGAAGCAACTGGACAGCGCTTTCTGGTTTCCACTGGCATCAGGGGGTTCAGGGTCAGAGTTTTCATCACGAACTAATATCAACTATAATACGAAAGTGATATTTAGTCGTGTAGATGAATGAATTTCTCACAAAAATTAAAAAGGCCCTGTCTTAAATCTAATAAATTCGTCCATTAAGTATAATGTCATCGGGTTAAGGTTATCGTTTCAGTAGTAAGGGCTTAGGAAAAGTAATAATGGTATTAGCTCATCCCTTTACTACACTTTTACTATAAAGTCTACTGATTCAATTTCTATATCATGATAGGTTGATCGTTTGAACAATCAACTGAAAGATTCTGATCAACGTGTTCGTGAACTTCAAATAAAAATTAAGGAGTCTGAATTATCTAAAACGCCAAATACCAACAATGTTGAGTTGTTAGAAACTAAATTGAAACAAACCGAAATGGAATTGTCAACTGTACAAAATAATTTGAAATATGTACAATCTCAATTGGAGAAAAATAAGCTGACAATCGTAAGTATCTTTTGGTTTTGTATATCTCAGTCAATTATCTTGTTTTATTTAGGTCTATAAATAGGAGAAGTGTTATGCCCTGTTAACTTCATCCTGTTGATAATGCTAGTAAAGCTGTTTGAGATACGTTTATCATGAAGTAGTTCCCTTAAAAGATTAGATAAACAAGACACTAGTCAATACTGACTGACCAACCAGTTGTAAATATCTCGGTTATGCGGGAAGTCAGTCGTGGGCTGTACAGCTTATCAGTAGCGTCTCACAATGTGATACTGAGTGATGCAGACCCAGATCCAACAGGAAGCGTCAGTTCCCTCACAACTACGTTGTGGTTTAAGCTCCTGGTAGATCTCCCTGCTGATTTGACAGCTATTTGGGTATCATACCAGGTTACCTGGGTTTGCATATCAATTTTTTGATTAACTGTTTCTCTAGTTGTTCTTTTAATCAAATCATCTAATAATTGAAGTAATTTCTTGGTTATAAGTCTAATATCTGATCTTTTCACAAGTGATTATCAACATGAACGTAGATGACAGTGTTAAGTCACTTAACTTGATAACCTTATTGCAAATTTAATCGATATAATTGAAGAAACATTCATAACTAGATGAAATGATGTCGGTTACTGCTATGTAATTTACCAGTAGTAGTATATCTATTATCTTTACTAGTTGTAATAACTACTTCCTTCATTCAATATTTTCATTTTCTTGTAGAATACTTTGGAAGCTAGTCTGTATGAATCTCGTCAACAGAGTTTAATTGCAGATAAACGAATTGAACTAACTCAAAATGACAATATTCGATTAACACGTGAATTAACACAATACAAAGAGAAAGCCAATCATATTTTGGCAATGAAAGAACGAGTAAGGCTTTTTCATCTCTCAAAAATTCTAACTGACAAATATATTTGTGAATAGTTGAATAAGTATGTAACACTTGAACCGATATGTATATATACGTACCAGGTTCTAACGTTACGATTAATTGACTGACGGACTAGATGTAATGTATTGTTAGGGATGTGGATGATATATTTTTTGTATGTGATGATTCTCAATATGCTTCTCGTATACTGAACCTTTTCCACAAAGCATACCCCAACATTAGATTTACAATGGAAAGTGAACATGATAACATATTTCGTTTTCTAGATCTTGGTATTAAACGTCATCCAAATTACCGATTAGAGAAATATATTTATCGAAACACCTTGTGGAATGGGCTGTAATTGAACTTTTGTTCGATAAGTTACAAGAGAGCTTTAAATGTTATTCAATTGTGTACGCAGATTGTGCTCTGAGGATAGAATTAAGGAGGAATTAGGTATAGTTGAGCTTTTCTTGCGTGAAAACGGTTATCCGCAAATGTTCTCAAATACGGAATCACTCGAAAAATGAGATCGATTATTCTACGGTTTAAAAAAGCCTGTCTTCTTAAAACTTGGCTTCAAAGCTGATGGAATAGCTGGAAGGATCGATTCTTGATCAAAGGCAATACTAATAAGTATATATCCAGCGACCAAATCGGTGTCCCTCTATCAAGCCAAATACTCACAGCGACAATCAAATTTGGACAAATACTCGCCTCATGTTACCTCTAATTTTGTTTATCAGTTCACATGTGCATGCTAAAGCATATACATCAGTGGAACAGAAAAGTTTGTGTCCGCATCTTCGAACATATTCTACATAAGTTGAGAGTAAACGAACAGAAGGTTTTCAACAGTGCAATTACTCATCTTTTTCTCGATAGTGGGTATGTTGTTGAAATAATCAACAAACAAAAGAATTATAAACTGTTACACTTTGCCAAAACTGTTTAAATAGAAAGATCAAAGCTGAATGTATGTATCCAAAAAGAAACAGTTAAAAATCTTATTTTACCCCGATGACTCTATTTTCGTAGGATTATGACGTAAGACATTGTTTTTTTATATCTTTTTATAAACTTTAATCAAAATCCTAGTTTTGTAATTCTTACTTCTGAGCTTTACTCACCTAGTCTGTATTACATAATCTATCTTCCGTTTCAGGGGAAAAAATGTTTTTTGTTCCCATACTCTTCTACAATATTCATATATTGAACCTATGAATAATCGAACGTTTGAACAATTCCAATTTTTCTGTATCATGGTCTCTTAATATTATTCTATCCCCTTATTATAGCTCAATTGATTCTGAACATTACTGATAAGCTGTATGTATATTTGTTTTAATGATTAATGCTGTGATTTTCGATTGTAAACAGCTGAGAAGAATTCACAAAATAAATGAATCTATGTTATTATGCTACGATATTTGTTCTTTATTTATCCACGTTTATAAATGAGAGAGGTTGTATAAAAAAATCATCGAACATTTATCAAGCACCTTCCAAAGAGATTTTCTTCTAGCTGCTCAAAGTAGACGTACAGGATAACATAAATAAGTAAAAAGGAAATGGACTCTTCATTAGATGTGCAGAAAACTAAATTTTTGATTGGTTGTGGAGGTTAAAGGAAAAAGGATAAATCAAACAAATTTCACATCATTAAAAATTTCATTCCTCTTTTCAATCTCATCTTCATCAATATGGTCTGTTTTAATGGCCGCGCTTAATAATGTTCGCCCTTTTTAACTGTTCCCTTTTCGTTTTCTCCCTAATCGTGTGAAGCCTTCACAACCTGATCTTTTTATTTTGTATATATAAATTAGTGTACTGAATTTATATTCAGTAGTTACATTGAAACAGTAAACATGAAGTGAACTTGTTATGAATTGACAATTTGTTTGCTAATTACATTTCTTTTTTTATTTATATCTTATACGCTAAAAACACATAAGCCGACAGTATTGGAATAGATATTCTCGTTTTTGTAAGGTGTACATTTTAGTACTTCGAGTCGTGCTCTACAGATATGTAACATAAATTTCAAGGATCTTTAGTAAATTAGCGTATTTAACTATTGATGAATTATAACGAGGATCGTTCTCATTTCATTATGTTAATTTGAATGTAATTTCACTGTATTACAACTCATTTGGTTGTTTTACTGAAAGAGACATTTGTTTTCTATTCATTAAACAATCTTGAACTATTAACTTCTGTGGTTTGTACACATTTTATGCATGAAATTATAACTGTGTATTCTTCACTGGGTGTTGTATTGACAGGTGATTTCATCATTACGGGGTCAAGATGTAAATTTGGAACAATTACAAACTACAGTTGTCAATAGTGAAAATAATTCAGAAAATGAATTGATCACTTCTATACGTGCAGAATGTGATTTATTACGTGAAGAAGCTACTCGATGGCGTCTAGAAGTTGAACATAGAGAAATGGCAATGCAAGAATTAGAATTGCAAATGCAAGCTGAGAAAGATTCATTACGGCGTAATATTGAATTATCAGAACAACAGGCAGAACGTGAAAAACAAGTTAGTTAACTGTATTTAACAATTCATTTTATTTGTTTGCAGGAACGCTGAAGTTTTATTCAATTCTCAATAGTTTTAATATTTTGATCAAGTATCATCATTTTTGTGGACACGGAGGGTCAATCTAGTGGAGTTGGAAAACCCTGATTCCAAGCCCATGGTGTACATGGGTTCCAGGATCCTGAGGGAACAAATGGCATATGAACCATGGGACTGCATTTGCTGACATTGCTCCACTGCCTTGTGGACCAGACCTTTTGATTGAAGGCTCCGGGTGTGGACCTTAAGAAAACCACATTCTTTGGTCTGAGTATCTGGGCCGTATCACATCCCACACGCAAATGAAGTGACTTGTGTGGCGCATATGTATTCCGTGCCCCTTTGTACCAATATTTATGTGTTCAAATAAAAGTGTTCTACATTCACATTCACTAATTTACTTATCCATTTTCCTCAGTAGTTGTAGGGGAATAGTGGAATACACTCTATAATGTCATAAACTAGATTAGTACTTTTGTTGTTAGCACACTTGACGATTAAGCATGAGGTTGCAGGTTTGATCTTAACCCCATGAACTATGGTTTTATGAACTGTTTACTAGCATCAAACCTTACCAGAGCATTATGTTTCAAAGCCAAGTACAAAAATATGTGATTTTAGAGTCTAATATATGTATAATTATGCTGCTAATGTCAATAAGTTCGAGCCTGGTAGCCAGATAGAATTTCACTATCTAAGACATTACGATTTATTCTTTTGAATTATAATATTAAGTCAAAAAGACCATATAAGTCTTTATTGTGTTAGATAGAATAGATATATTCCATTCTCTTTTTCTAGTATATTTTATCACTTTTTCTGATAACTAATCAAAAACTATCTTATCACAAGTCATAAAAACATAGTGGATACTTGTTTATTTTTGTGTATTATGATTTTTCGTGTACTGTAGACGGTTCATTTGCAATCTGAAACATCAATATAGACGCGGTACAAAAGCTCATCCACAGGACTTCAGTTTATTTTATCTTTATAGTCTTTTTAAGGACGAATATGTTTTCTTAATTTTGACCACATTGTCTCAATATTATTAGTGTGGATATCACTAGTGGGGTTGATGAAATCACACTTACGAACTACAATTAGGTGATTGTAACCTTTTACTCTCTCCAATCATCCATAAAAATGGTAGTCCTTGATTTCATATACCCGATCGAAGCTGCTACCTTGACGCGGTGGTCGGGCTTGCCTATCGTGATGACCCAACCGAGCTATATTGGCTGGAACATATGTTCCTGCAGGTTCTACCATGCCAGGCAGGTCGATTGGTGAACGGTAAGGTAAATCGAGTCGGTTCTTTATTTTGGCATGGTGAGGTCAAATGAATGACGCTACTTGGATCCTGTATGCGCGTTTCGGAGACGCAGCACACATCGATGGCGCGAGATTCTAAAGTCCTAGCTAAGGAAGCCTGCTGTCCTACTTGGCAAAGTGTTCGTACGTTAAAAGCTCCTACGTGTAGTTTAGAGCGTGGTTTCAGGAGACCAGGAATAGCGTTCCACGTACTCGAATCGTTTGCCCTAGCGGTGCGAGGTGATAAAGAGACGTGGGGAGGGTTAGTCGGGGAGATAAGAGAGGTATTAGAAGGTGTAGGAAAGATTTGAATGTGACCACCTTAGTCTCTTGTGCTGTTACGGGTATGAGGGCTGATATCACTTCCCGGCTGCCCACACCGTGGAAGGGTATTTCTTGAGGAACCTGAAAAGGAAATTGGATTAGTGTTGGTCTTGACGACCTGGGAGCGTGACCGCAGAGCCCAAGGGACAACTGCTTGAGGCCGGTCGCGCACGGCCTTTTTGTGGAAGATTTTTGACGTGTTAGCTCCGTTCTTCAAAGGGCCTTACCGCCGGAGACGGAAATCCGTGAGGTAAGGTGAGGTGTGACATTTTTAGGGTCGACCTTTTCTAACCCCACCCCTCCTTGTGGGAAGGCAGCATCGCTGTCATGCAAGAAAACCTCTTAGGGGCCTACTTAATGATAGTCAAGCTAAGAGTATATTTCAGGAACAACTAGGAAAACAGTTAGGCAGCCATGTATGTGATGCCCACCCCGATGCAGCATGGAATGATATCCAAAAAGCTGTGGAAACAGCAGTGATATCTGCTAGTAAGGTAAACCAGAAGGTTAGGGAGCAACACTGGATCTCAGCAGCATCTATCTCACTGATAGATGCTCGGAAACTCATTCCACCTGGCTCTGAACATAATGAAGAGCGGAGTCAGCTTAAGCGCAAGCTGACCAGAAGCCTACGCAACGATCGCGAACAGTGGTGGGTAGCGAAAGCAAGAGAGATGGAAAAGGCAGCGGCAATAGGTAATAGCAGACAATTGTTCAGACTCGTTAAGGAAACCGGAATTAGGAACCCGACCGTTAGCGAAACAATCTCAGAGAAAGATGGACATATTATTCATTCTCAATCCAGGAGATTGGATCGATGGGCAGAACACTTTAGGGATCAGTTCAACTGGCCTTCAGCCACACTTCGGTTTCCCACGATCTCTAGTCAACCTGAATGGCAAGTTAATGTAGGTCCTCCGACTTTTTACGAAGTTGAAAAAGCCATAGGAAATCTGAAACGAGGGAAAGCAGCAGGCCCTGACAGGTTTACTCCTGAGATTTTTAAGGATGGTGGTCCAGTATTAGCAATGAGATTAACCGAGGTCTTAAGTAGAATTTGGGAACTGGACGTAATCCCATCTGACTGGTCTCAATCACTGATTGTGCCAGTCTATAAGAAAGGACAAAAGTCCTCTTGTGACAATCACAGAGGAATCAGTTTGACTAATATAGTGTCTAAAATATTAGCTTCAATAATACTTCGACGCCTAATCAAAGCTCGTGAAGAGCAGACTAGAGAAAATCAGGCTGGTTTTCGACCTGGACGTGGTTGTATAGATCAGATATTCACACTACGTCAGGTTCTAGAACACAGACACACATTCAGACGCCCCACAATGGTAGTATTTCTCGACCTTAAGGCGGCATTCGACTCTGTTGATCGTGAGGTTCTATGGCAGTGTTTGTCACTGAAAGGAGTACCAAAGAAGTACATTAACCTTATAAAGGCTCTCTACTCGAACACAACTGGTAGAGTGAGAGCTTATGGCGAACTGTCATCAGAATTGATTACCTCAAGTGGTGTTCGTCAGGGCTGTCCACTCTCCCCATTCTTGTTCAACTTTGTCGTGGACATACTTCTAGAGATAACACTTTCCTCATCTAGATTTCCAGGGGTTGAACTTCTACCGGGAGGTTCACTTGTTGACTTAGAATATGCTGATGACATAGTTTTATTTGGTGAAGACGCTGACAAAATGCAGAGTCTTCTGACCACTCTAAGCAACAATGCAAGCATGTTCGGGATGAGATTCTCTCCCTCGAAATGCAAAATGTTGCTTCAGGATTGGGTTACATCGACACCCGAACTAGTGATAGGGAGTGAAGTAGTTGAGTGTGTCGACCGCTTCACTTATCTTGGAAGTCTGATCAGCCCTTGTGGTCTGGTGTGTGACGAAATCTCAGCACGGATACAGAAGGCTCGACTAGCTTTTGCCAACTTGCGTCATTTATGGCGTAGGCGAGATATCCGTCTATCAACCAAAGGACGTGTTTACTGTGCAGCAGTTCGTTCCGTCCTACTTTATGGCAGTGAAACATGGCCGGTAAGAGTAGAGGATATCCGTAGGCTACTAGTATTTGATCATAGGTGTCTTCGAAACATTGCTCGTATATCATGGGACCATCGAGTAAGTAACACAGTTGTTAGGAAACGGGTACTAGGTAAGGATGGCAAATCAATTGATGACGTAGTGAAACTTCATCAGTTGAGATGGCTGGGACACGTGTTACGTATGCCCAACGACCGACTGCCTCGACGTGCTATGTTCAGTGGTATAGGAGTAGGTTGGAAGAAAGCTAGGGGCGGCCAAACCAAAACATGGCACAAGTCCATGAAGTCACTGACAAGTGAACTGAGTCATGTTGGTAGGTGTAGACTACCTGGTTGGGGACCGCGAGATGATAGCAACCGATGGTTAGAGACCCTGAATGACATGGCTCAAAATCGTTTGCAATGGCGCAGGTGCATCCACTCTCTGTGTTCTCTCAAATTCTAATCTTCTGAATTCTTCATGTCCCTTTTTTCCTCTTTCCAAATTTATTTCACTGGATTATACTCTATAAATAACATCTCCAAACCCTAATCTTCCCGATTACTGCTTATACTCTTGCTACCTCTACCACTATGGGATTTGAATGGACAACTGCATCTCTGTGCTAATGTGGTGTGGCAACTCGAACTGATGTACGTACGTACGAAGTTCTACGTTGATACTGACTGACTGACATAAATAAATATTGTTTCTGTACTGGAAAGATCATATTGTACATTTGGCCTTAAGAGATTCATAAAATGACACTTCACTACACTCTAAATCAAATCAAGTTCTTTCGACGTGTAATTGCCGTTAGAGGTACAATCCACATGAGTAACAGATGTTTCTTGTTAACTAGCTTTCACACCACGTCATATTAACTGTTTTGTGTTGCATAGAAGATATATTCATCAATTTCAAACAAACTATGAACTAAATGTAACCGGTTTTTACATAACTCTTAGTAAATATACATGCTATCTGTCATGGCGTTTCCAAGAGGCACTATCTCAAATCCGATTACAGCATAGTTCTACTCGTAACTGACACCCAAATCCCCTGTTAGACCTAGAGTGGGGAGAGTCAGCTCTATCTCTCCAAATACTCTCACATGGCCACGTGCATACAACCATTGCCAGAAAAGTCCTACTCACTGCCTTCTGGTGGCAGAGGTGTTGTTTACGAAATTGATAGGACGAAAAGCGAATGTCCGGCGCATTAACCACGTCGGTGTATATGGAGGATCTACCTATGAGAGTTGGGAAACCCTGACCCGAAACCAATGGTGTACATTGGCTGGCTCCAGTATTCTGAGGGAACAAATGGCATCTGAAGCAATTATTGGTCACTAGCTACCATGGGACTGCATCTCCTGTTGTTGCTCCATTGCCTTATGGATCAGACCTTTAGGTCAATGGCTCTGGGTGTGAACCCTAAGAAAACCACCTGTTTCGGTTTGGGCACCTGGACAGTATCCTAGCCCTCACACGAATCGAATGGTTAATGCGACCCATATGTATTTGGTGCCTCCCATGTACCAATGTTTATGTGTTTTTCAATAAATAAATAATAATCCTGCTTACCGGACTGTACTAAAGTCCTTGTGCTCTATTTCGCGTGTGTTTCAATAGGTGTCCATCACAGAACACGACGTGTGACGTAAAATTTGTCCGCCATGCTATAGTTCCAGTGATTTCCAAACTGATGCTAGTTTTTATGAAAATAAGTGAGATGGTATTATCGAACATTGGTAGTGGATTTTTTTAGTGTTGAATAACTGTTGAATGTCTAAAAGGGTACACCTTATCCTGTTATATTTCAGTATAAATTCTTATATTATGAAATTAACTGATTATTATCGTTTTGGAAATTTCTGCTTATTTTTTGACATCTGAATGTCACATGTTCTTATTTAAAACTGAAAAACAAAAACTAAAAGCTTCGAGAAGAAGCTGATACAGAGTTGGCACATTCAAGACAATCTATACGTGAATTAGAAGAGACATTCAGTCGTCAAAAAGCTGACCTACACAATAAACTAATGTCAACCGAGTCAGAATTAGCTCGACTTAGACAAATAGCATCGAATGAATCGCTACGGAACACACCTCCTTCACGAAGTGATCCAGAAAACATATTGACATTAGAATCACGTATTAGACAATTAACCGATAATCTTTTATCGAAACAAGATGCACTGGATTCGGTGTTGGCACAAAATCATGCTTTAAAGGTGAGTTATATGAAGTAAAATTTCTTGATGTAGATTTGTAGTTCAGGTGGGCATTTTTAGTGAAGTTGTATTCTCTGAGCTGTGTGATCTCCAGACTGTAATGAATCAAGTAACAGCAGCAACCAGAAGTCGAAATTCGGGGCGACAGAAAGAAATGTTAGCCGTATGAGGAGAAATTCAAATAGCTCATGTAGTGGCTGGTACTATTTCAAACGCACATAGGCTGTTGTAACTCTAGACAGACTAACTTATTCATTCTCCTCAAGCCATATTTTTATCCTGTCACTTATTTGCTTATTAACCCTGACTGTTTTTATATGATCGTGTGTACTTGTATTGCTTACCCTATTCATCACATGTCTGTAACTCATTTTTATCGGACTGTAAATATTGAGTCGCGCTTGGTTAAATCAAGTTTGTTCACATGCCTTCTCCCACTCATTTTTTTCTCTCTCTCCTCTTTACTTCGTTTCCTCGGTTGTCTGATCCGACCAACGATTGTATGAAATATACGTATTTGAGATCCATTCCGTTATTTGACTTATTTTAACACCGTTATTCACTAACGCGGTTTAGGTCGATAATTGCATACGAGGATTGGTGGTGTGTATGTTTCGATAACAATCATCATTCGATCTAGATGGGGTCAGATCAGTCGGTACCACTAAACTCAGTCCTATCTAAATATTATGTTGATAATGTTTAGAAAGACAATGAAAGCTTGACGACTAAATTACTCAGCTAATTGGATTTGATTGTACTAAAAATAAGCGTGTTCAGTTTCGAATAATCATTTTTTCACCATAAGAGAGTGATGTTTGTGCCTATCAATGAAATCCTCTGATAATTTCAATCGTTTTAATTGTATAAAATGATTAAAAAGGATTATACACCGTCTGATATTAGTTATATTGTAACCATACCTTCAGGATACGTTTTTTGGTAATGAAATCAAATTATTAAATGAATATTGTAATTTGCATTTTTTTGGTTGTCGGTCTGAGACAATGGCACATATATACGACTTAATGCATATGAATATACACTAATAACATCTCAACGGAGATAATTGGTTGTGCCTAGTAAGAAGGGAAAGAGAAAAAAAAGTTTCAATGTTTTGCTTTTATGTTTTTCAGTTTCATTTATTGTTAAGATATTTAAATTTTGATTTCGTAGATTTATGAACTTGCTAAAGTAGTCCACTTTCAACCAGGAGTTTCAGGGTGAAACACCGCTTCATCTATTCTTCAATTCGAGCACCTGGTTGATGATACTAATGTAATCCAGTTATTAAATATATGTTAGTGTACTTGACTTTCAGTCACACTTTTTTTTTCAAAGAGTAGTTGAAGTTAACCATCTGTCTAAACTGAGTTAGGTAAAGTGAGTTTCGGTCTTGCGATTTAAGTTATCATTATCCGGAATGCCTTAAGTACTGTTCTTCTGATTTACTTGTTTTGGTTATTGGAATGGTTTTAGATGCACATAGTTAAGGAGTGTTTTTATACTAATACATAAACAACCGTCCAGTTTTTAATTTTAAATATTATCTAAATTCCGATCAGTTCGTGATGAAAAACTCCTAGAAGTTTTAATATTATCGAGCAGTATTAATACTATCACCTTAAAAATCAGTGCCGATTCAGTTTGTCTATATTAATCTATAGGTAACAAATGAGTTCTATTATTATCTTGTGAATTCTTCTTAAACCATTTTTGAATGATTTCACCATTTCCCATCCTGTCTTCTATACGTTTTCTTTTTATATCTTGATTAGATTCGACTTGATCATGTATTGAGTGATAATGAATCACTTATTTCAGCTTTACCTAATTATGATACTCAATTGATTTTGGGATATGGTAGATCTTATCAATCATCTATTGGAGGTTATGGATGTACTAAACTTAATCTATATGTAAGTTGATTTATTGTTGATAACTTAATTATTAATACTGATTGAACAACAGCTTTCCTGTTTATTTGTTTGGGCTTTAGAAAGAGAATAATTTGTTACTTTTTCTTATGATTTTAATCACACTACTTTCTTTCAAGTCCAACAATGATACTATTCATTTGCATAAACTGAAATAGGCGTTGTGAGTTTGAAATCCAACACTTAGTAGCTGAAAATTGAACATTTAAAATGTTCTAGACTCTACTTCCTCGAGGAGCTCTAACAAAAGACTTCTACTGGTTCGAGCAATGCACAATGAACAATAGTAGCCTTAGTTAATTAATTATTTGAACACAGATATTGGTACAAGGGGGCACCAGATACATATGCGCCACACAAATCTCATTTGATTTGTGTGAGGGCTGTGATACTGCCCGGGTGCCGAAATCGAAGCAGGTGGTTTTCAGAATGCTGAATCAAATAGTCTAACCTAGATTGGGATCCAACGCTTTTATCAAAACAGTTTTCGGAATTCTGTATGAAACTCCAATAGTTCATGGGATTACCATCAAACCTTATGATCTCTCTCTCTTTGGTAGGTCTAAAACTTTAGATATCATTGTTGTCCAGTTCTTTCTAGGAGGAAAATCAACTCCATGTGAAACAGATGTAGACTCTTACGACACCACCTTGTCAATCACAACTTGAATATAATGTTCTCTTCCCTTTTGACGTAACCTTTCCAACTCAATTTCTCTTTCTGTCTGAGCTAAGCGTACTTAAGTTAATTCCAACTCTAAAAAGAGATCCATTCGGTAGCCGCTTTTTCTAAATTGGTCACTACTATGAGTTTCTAAATAGTGGAGAGGCAAATCAGGAATCAGATCAGTCTTATGATTTTTTCCACAGACATTTAACAGCACTCAACGTATGAATTTTTGACGAGATACTGGTCAAAACTTTGTAGGATTTAATTTGTCCTACAGATATGCTACTAGAACAGTAAATGCGATACTGGTGATCTCAGACACATCATGCCAGAACAACGTGGTGGGAGCTAGTTCTGGACATAACTAACAACTTTTTGAGAAACGTGTAGCGGTCTGTATTCAATATAATCCTTAAACTTCGTGTATAGTTCGTCCTGATAACCATAACTAGATAATGCTCCGACGGTGTATTAGTCAAAAGGCGAATACGAAGCGTTGATTAAGTTTATCATTGTACCACGCACAGATAACCAGATTTACAGGTACGTTAAGCAAGTATGAAAGAGTAGTGCCGAAAAGCAAGCAGGCAAGCGAGTGAGCGTGCGGACCGAATGAAACAGCCAGCGAGCCAATGAACAGGATTAAAATGTATATATATACTGAAATGAATGAATCATCGAATCAGTTAAGCGACTAATAGTAAAACTAGCAGAATGAATATATGCATTGGCAGTAAGCAATGCTTCAAACATACGATTCATACAAGTACAACAACAATAAAGGTACAATGATATCGACAAGTTGTTATAGTACGAATGACTCTGTCCGTTAAATAAGTTAGCAAAAGGGCTTAACCAAGTTAAATGTAAACAAACTAAATTGTATGTTAGCTGCTATAAATGATTTATAAAGCCTGGTGTAAATTTTTTTCAACCATGTTGTGTATAAGTAATGAAGATAATTTTTTCCTATGTACATTTTCAGCAATAAATGCTAAAGGTTGTTATAACTTGTGCCCTGTATGCTATTCATGTATAACGTAATGATACCGCCAATTCGAGAACAGTGAATTATCGACCGGACCAATGACGCATAAAACAAGTACGAGCAGTCTACAGTCCTTATCGCCCCTGCTTCCCGCCTAGATCCGCCTGTTAAGCCAAGGACACCAATCTCAGCCTATGTGATATGAATCATTTATTTCAGACATACTGGGTCTATATACCAACCAGACAGACCGTATCGTACTATAAAATAGGAAACAACATTTGTACAAGATTTAGCCAAAAGTGGCTGTGAATGTGGGAGTTAATAATTGATTGACTGAGGATAACTCAAGAATGGTAAATCGTCTAGTAATAGTTCATAGGTGAAAATAAGACTCATAATAAGAGAGGACATGAATATGAATAGTTTAGACATTTAACAATTATACGATAAAAATATACGTATAGTATTAGTCCAGAAATAGATCCCAACAGTTACCACTCATTATTCCCATCGAGATATAACAAAGGTAAACAAGTTTCGTACGTACTACCGAATAAAATCTCGTCAATAGAGCGGAGAACGTCATATATAAGCCGAAAAAATCCATTTATCTGATGTTAATCTTTAGAACATTTTACACTTGTTTTATCACTGATACCTATAAGAATAAGACAAAATCAAATATCTGAAATGGAGATAGGTATGCTAAGTCATCTTTTAACCCATCAATTTTCTTCAAACGTTTTCTTATCTGTTCATAAATGACATTCAAGAAACGGAATTGCTCAGCTTTATATTTGCTTGAATGTATTGAATATTGACAAGGGCCGCAGTACTGCAAATGAAGAACATATGGAACTCAAAACAACTGTCAATCAATATCAAAGTCAGAATGTTTAATACGGACGTTAAGACAGTTCCACTGTACGGAGCTGAAAATTAGAGAACTACCGCAACCATCATCAAATAGGTACAAGTATATATTATTAGCTGTCTATAGAAGATATTCAACATCCATTGAACGGATACCATCAGGTACACCCTAATGTGTGAGAGAACAAACCAGCTTCCATCTGAAGAGGAAATCATGGAAAGACGATGCAAGTGGATAGGACATACATTACGCAAATCACTAAACTGCATTGCGAGGTCAGCTTTCACTTGGAATCCTCAAGGCCAGAGAACGCATTACGCCGAAAAATGAAGACAGATATGAAAAGGAGAAATAACAACTGTAAAGAGCTGGAAATGATTGCCCAAGACATGGTTGGATGGCGAGTGCTGATGGTAAGCCTATGTCTCCACGAGGAGTAAGAAGCGTAAGTAAGCAATTGAATATTGACACGTAACCACCCTGATTATCCTATTGTTTCTATTACTATATTCCATTCGTTACAATAAACTGTGTCTGTCAATGTATAATACACTCCTTTTTATTACTTTGTTCCATATAGGATACCCCGATTCCTAAACAATTAAGACCGTTAGCTTATCGAATAGATAATTTTGGTATACAAATCGTTAACAGTTTTCGTCGGTTCCCAGTTATTCGTCTAACTGTTATCATTTATTTAATAATTCTCCATTTATCGATAATTATTGTGTCTTTCATGCCAGTGGATAACATGAAAACTGTTACGGTTGGTGGCAGTGGCAGTAGTAAAGTGGTTATAGAAAATCCTCCTGTTGAAGCTAATCGACTTCCTCATGCTTTAAATAAACCTTGAATTAGATAAACACATTGTCTCTTCCTCTCTCTCTCTCTCACACACACTCACACACATACATTATAACGGCCTCTATCTTCTTGTGTCTTTTTCACTTTTTTTGGTCTTTCTGTGATGTAATTTGTTTATCTCTTTTCTTTAATTCGGTGTACTTTTATGTACTACTGAAATGAAGGATAAATAGTAGTATGTTGTGTGTTTTGTTCTTTTATTCATTTAAGATTAGTTAATTACTCTATTTTTTGGAATAACTATTAAACAAATTCAGTGAACGAGGTTTTCTTTTTGATAAAAGCATTTATTTAAGCTCGACATTTGTATATATAGTTGTTTGATAGAAGAGATTGATTACATCATCCGAGATTTTTAATATCAAAAGAAGCTTGCGTTAATGATCAAAGAGTTAGAGAGGAATAATAACTTAAAAATTATTTGTAGATTAGTAATATATGGGAGATTATTATCCGCTTAACATATCTGAAGAAGAAATGACAAGAAATACAGGTCATAATAGTAATTGAACCATAATCATTAAAACTCGTTAGAGGATAAATAATAACTGACTACGGTTTTAAAAAAAATGTACAAAATCATAATAAAGACAAGCATAAGACCAGAACATACTAGAGAAGGGAATTAAGATCAATGAATGATGGGAGTTTGGATGTATCGCTTTACATACAAAGTTTGGGCTTGTATTGGTGAATCGTCAAAGCCCCAGTGTTTTGACGGGCAGTGTCTAAAATCTGATACTGATACGCGATGTACTGCACACTAAGCGGCGAACTGACTACTTGAGCGAGAAAGTGTATTGGACTACCGAATAAAATGTGCAAGTAATCATTCATATATATACCACTCTAGTCCTTAGGAAATTGAGCCATTTCTTAGCCAATGACATGCACTTGTACTCTAGGTCACTTCTGATTGTCATCGATTGACCTTCTGATTAGCTTTGCATATCACTCAGTAGTGTTTATGTTTTTGATTTGACCTCCTTTAGGTCCAATCCTTTCCACTCTATAGATTATTTTGAGAACGACTCCTTTGGAGTAAGGTGCACAGAAAAGATCAGGTGCTCCTGTCTTGAGCTAGTGATAGCTTCGCATTCCTCTTTTAAAATATGCTCCAAGTAATGTTCTGAGATGCGTTTGGAAATTGTTCTCTTTGTGTGATCAATTTAACATGTCGCACAAGAGCAAGTAAATTTATGGATCCACATCGGTGTGGCCCGAAGCGAGACTTTATCTTTAATAATTTCGTGAATGGTAGGTTGTTTTTGAGAAGAAAATAACAAGCTTAGCTAAATAGAAAGTTTTCCTCGGGGATTTCGTAATCCGCTTATTCAAAATCTCAAAAGTCGTATCTCCCTTAAATTCGATATTCATAATAAGAGGTTTTTATTAGTTGATGGTCCTTCAGGATATAGTCTTGGTGTTACGTTTCTGTTGATGAATCTAGGTGACTGGACACTTCTTATGAGTGTCTGTTGAAGTTGAATCAGTTGGTTATCTATTGTGTCATGAGAAAATTTTCGCCTATTTCCCTGTGATAAGTAGTGAATTAAGTTTCTCTTTCTACTCAATGGGGCCTAGTTATAGGAATTCGTATACCGGTCATCGTAAATTGATTTTCTTAATACAGATATTTTTAAGGAACTATTTGGCCTTCTCTTCAACAGGACGTTGAGGAAAAGAAATTTGGCATTCACTATTGCTTCAAATGTGAATTTAATTGAAAGGTCTAAATCGCACATTGATAGTATGTTGTAGAAGTAGTAATTTCCGATAATGTTTTGGGATACAAATATCATTTGTTGTTTTTAATTTAGCCACATAAACCGCATGTAACCTTCGTGTGTGAAACACTTAAAAATGAGTAGTGACTTCCAATAGATCGCTCCGCACAAAGATATATATTGAGAAAACTAAAACGTTTTAGATCGCTACAAAAAACAAACCAATAAAGACGGTAAATGCCGTTGAAAGGATCACATGGATTCATACTACTGTATACAACTAAGTAGTATCTCTAGAAAAACAAAACATTTAGATGCAAAACACCCCTTAAATCAACGGAAAATAACGCGTAAATGCTGGATAACACACACTTGTCCAGAACTCAAAGCAAATGAACATACTCGAAATGCTCTCAAATGGCCACGCGTATTCAGACACTGCCAAGGAAGACCTACTAACTGCCTTTGTTGTGACTTTAAACTAGGGTCGATTTTTACTCCGTGCCAATTGTCGTGTCCTTGACTGAAAAGATTAGAGAGCAGTGTATTATAGATCGAATCAGTGACACGTAAAACACGCACGAACGGCCTACAGTTCTGATTGGTGGTGCTTCACTGTCTAGCCCAGCCAGTTGAGTCCAGAACACAAGTCACAACCTCTGAGATATGAATCGTTATATTTCAAACACACTGCTTATATATCAATCAAGCATACCACATCGTACCATAAAATAGAAAACAACATTTTGTACAATATTTAACAAGTGAACAAATATCGACCGATAGGAAATATCCATTTAAAGCCCAAGGACACCATTGGACTTAACATGATAATTATTGGTATATTCCTCTGCACCCCAAACAGCCTTCCACGGCATCACTGTTGTTTACGAAATTGAGAGAACGAAAAGCGAATGTCTAGCGCTTTAGACGGGTTGGTGCATAAGGGAGGATCTCCATAGAGGAGTTGGAAAACCCTGAATCCAAACTAATGGTGTACATGGACTCCTAAATCCTTAGAGAAAAAATGACTTATGAACCCATTGTTGGCAACGGGCTAGCATGGAACTACATCTCCTTACTATGCTTCAATGCCTTGTGGACAGACTAAAAGGCCGTAGTCTCGCGGTGTGATCCCTTAGTAAAACCACCTGTTCTAATTTCGGCACATACAACACTCACAATCAATAGAATTTTAGACATTCTTCTTATTCCGTAAGTGTTTAAAACCAATCAATGCCGACCAAGATATTAAATGCTTGCAGTGAGAGTGACATACAATACTCACATCTAAGTATATTTCAACGACTGGTTACATAATTGAGTAAATTAATTACATTTGTCGGTTATATCAGTTTCATCTTCTGATGTTGTAAATTGTGCTCAAACACTAAGTGATGTACATTTTGAAATTACAAAACCCTAATATCATTACACGATAATAACAGTAATAACAATAATCAATAAATTACGTTCTCCATGTCGTAAGAGGTTGAAGAATCAACTCATCTAAAATTTCCGTTCATTAATCACTCGTCACATTTACACTAACATCATCGTGACATTCTCAGTGTCCATTCAATTCAATTCCCTATGTTGACGATCCAAATAGTATTCGTCGTCAAAGTCTGGAAAACCAACAAAACAAATGAAAACGGTAAATTCAATCACCATCAAAAAGAAGCTTCTCAGAAATATCTAGAAAATGATTAATTATCTGTGACATTTTGATTGGATATCAATTCATACAGTTGGTGTATTTAAAATGTTTCGCGGAGTTTCTACAAAACCCACTGTCACACAGAACTCTACAAATATACTCGATCATTAGTACATAACTAAACTTAAAGTAAAATCCATACATTTCACAACTTTCCTCTTCTGTTCAAGTTGATGTATAGAAGTAGTGTGAGGTGATGCGAAGTGACTAGAAAGTCAGTTATGAATGTTCCAGTAGCGGATACTTATGGATTACAATTGGACCAAAATTTCATTTCCCATAGAACTACGAGAAGGAATTCATCATCATCATCATTATCAGCAGCAGCAGCAGCAGCAGCAGCAGCATAAGCAACAACAACATCATCACTGAAATCGGAACACGCAATAATCGAATCTGATGTGTGAATTGCTCATTATTTAAGACGAACTCAAATAACCTATTCACAATAGACATTGACAACCACTTGGATTACAAATAATCTATGAGCATATCACTACAAATAATCATATGCTTGATATTAATCGAAACACACACAGAATAAACACAATGATAGTTGAAATTATAATTACATAATCAGTAAGTAATATTAACAATAATGTAGGACAAGAATCCCAGTAAAGAATTTCAACCGATTACAACTACTATTAATTGTTATACATTTTCATTTTAAAATATGCAGATAAATCCACTCATGGTGTCATTTCATCATTTGACACATCATTTCAACATTGTTTTAGTTTATACTAGACAATTTTATCATTTTATTATTATTATTATTATTACAGAAATACAGTCTCTTCTTTTTAATCTATATACATAACACAACGGATAGAAAGTTTATCAGAGACATTGGTGCGTCATCGACATTCAAAAATGAATCAAAATGATATGTCTGGAAAATGTGTTTTCTGGCATGGAATCCATGTCATGTTCATTCTACATCTTATCGCGACACACACATCAGACATTCACAATTACTGCCAAAAAGACAACATTATTCATTAGTGTTGTATGAGTTGTAAATTGTAAAATCAAAATTGAATGACTGATAATGATGCATAGTGGTAGTAGTAGTAGTAGTAGTAGTAGTAGCTCCATGTAGAGCACTCAATTTTATCCATATCAATCAAGTAAATATGTGACATAACTCATTTACACTTTATCATATTGTATAACGCCATATTTTTAATGTTTTGATGTTGTTGTTTTTTTTGTTTTTCGAATATTTCTGTAATTTCATGTGTCAGGAAATTAGGCCAACTGATTTACTGAATAGTTGACCATGTATAATAATAATGATAATAATAACATTAGAAGTATGTTTTTGCATTTCACACGTAATTAGTTGCAATTTGAAAGGGGTTCCATTATGTTGTGTATCTCAGGTACATAATCTAGTATAGATTAGTTAGCACACATGAATTGCATTAGAAAATTCAATTCGATTTTAGTATTCGCTTAGCACAATCAGGGAGAAATTAAGTAGAAACACTAATATCAGAAAGGGGTTTTGGGGATATTATGATAAATTTTAATAGT